AGTGGAGCCTTCCGCGGTAAACCAGGGTTTTGTTTTCTAACATTATGCAATAAGCATGTTAATTGTTAAGCCCTATTAGGGAGAAGGAAATGACCGCAATAAATCGGGGTTTGCATTAACTCAAGCGCCATCAAGTCATTAGAAACGCAATTGCTAAGGACTGTAAATTTGAGCTAATGAATAACTAGAAGCAAAGACCCCAGATTGAGGTCTCGGTACACTCATGTACTAACAGAATTGTAGCAGGATTGTAGCAATACTGTAGCAGGATTGTAGCTGCTTATTATCAGCGAGAACCAATTACCTGATTACGGACAGTCCCCAATCCTGGATATGATAGCTCCAGTCTCACACACTCTCACCTCCCCACACTTCCACACCATTGCCAAGTAGACTGATTTCACTCCGATACACTGTGACACCTGTCTAGACTCTAGAGTAGTCTAGGAGACCGTACTTGTTGTGTTACGTCCGATCTGCCTTCTTTGCCAGGACTCACACGTCAGGTTTTAGTGGTAGGAATAAAGTTAAACATGGGGTTAGTGAGTTCTGGGTCTGTCATCGCCCACAAGTAACCCAGGCTCTCAGCAAGCGAACCATGTTCTGTAACTTGTCCTAAAGTCCCACAAGTAACCCAGGCTCTCAAAAAGCGAACCATGTTCTGTAAATTGTCCTAAAGTCCCACAAGTAACCCAAGCTCTCAGCAAGCGAACCATGTTCTGCAACTTGTCCTAAAGTCCCACAAGTAACCCAGGCTCTCAGCAAGCGAACCATGTTCTGTAACTTGTCCTAAAGTCCCACAAGTAACCCAGGCTCTCAGCAAGCGAACCATGTTCTGTAAATTGTCCCTAAAGTCCCACAAGTAACCCAGGCTCTCAGCAAGCGAACCATGTTCTGTAACTTGTCCTAAAGTCCCACAAGTAACCCAGGCTCTCAGCAAGCGAACCATGTTCTGTAAATTGTCCTAAAGTCCCACAAGTAACCCAAGCTCTCAGCAAGCGAACAATGTTCTGTAACTTGTCCTAAAGTCCCACAAGTAACCCAGGCTCTCAGCAAGCGAACCATGTTCTGTAACTTGTCCTAAAGTCCCACAAGTAACCCAGGCTCTCAGCAAGCGAACCATGTTCTGTAACTTGTCCTAAAGTCCCACAAGTAACCCAGGCTCTCAGCAAGCGAACCATGTTCTGTAAATTGTCCTAAAGTCCCACAAGTAACCCAGGCTCTCAGCAAGCGAACCATGTTCTGTAACTTGTCCTAAAGTCCCACAAGTAACCCAGGCTCTCAACAAGCGAACAATGTTCTGTAACTTGTCCTAAAGTCCCAAAAGAAACCCAGGCTCTCAGTAAGCGAACCATGTTCTGTAACTCGTCCTAAAGCTCTACTAAGTTCCCTACTCGAGCACTAAGTTCCCTAAAGCGCTCTACTCGTTACCCTTATTTGGGGATTTTAGGAGGTTTTAAAGCATATTCAGTTTTTCAGAACGCCCACAAGGCTAAGTAAGCCTCAGCAATTCTGCCAATTGTTTAAAACTTTTGATTGGATAAATAGGAGTGGCTTGATTAATTATGATTATTTATCCAATTTTAGATATGACCATACGTAATTACTAATTATAGACTAAACACAGATTTAATTAAGATACTTGTTTAATCATAATATGTATAATTAACTTATCATTACATCAATTATGTGGCAGGTGCTGAAATTTCAAGGCAGTCTTGAATAATAGTTCTATCTTTGCCGTTTTGTAGGTATTCATGTTAAATCTTCATGGGCCACAATAGGTCATACGAATATACCCAGAAATTCCAACTTTCTACATAAAAAAGGCAAAAAACTTAGATCTTCCTCATGTTAAAATGAAAAAGAGTTGAAAAAAGCTGACCATGCTCAGTCTTAAATTATAATCAAAAAAACACTAGGCGCCGCCCTGCTGTCAGAATTTCGGTTGTTCTCAAAAAGTGTCGACTTAAGTTTTAACAGAGGATCATTTTAAAGTTGTTGGGTGCTAAGCAAAAACTCGAAAGAACTAACACGTTTGGTAACACCTTAATGTTGCAGACACGCTACTATAAAATATAAGGTTTTTAAGAAGAAAATGCGGTCGGTTTATCCTTAAGTTTTAGTGTGCGAGTTAAACACTAAAGTTTTTTTGTGTTACATCGTGAAGAAGCTGACAACCACAGGGACATACAACTTGGTGGTTTGTGCAGACACGCATGACCACAAACCTGGTCACGCGTGACCACAAACCTGGTCACGCGTGACCGCAAACCTGGTGGTCGCACTTATAAGTGTGCTGCTGAGTCCCACTATAAAACCTGTGTCGCAGTATTTCACGTTCGGGTCCAAGCGGTGGCGCTGAACCTTGAGCATGAGTCAAGTACTGTCTACAATACTGGTTACAGCATTAGCTACAGTACTGGCTACATGATTAGTTACAGCACTGACTACAGTACTAGCTACAATGCTGTCTACAATTCAGTCTACAGCAATGTTTCCAGTACTGTCCAGTGTTTACCACCCTGTCCTACCATGTAAAATGCTGGCCACTTTCTTGTTCAATGTTGCCATGGTTACTGTTGTCAGGTCTGTATGTCACTTTCATGTCTGCTTTTCTGTCTACCATGATGTCTAATATAAAGTGTAGAGGGTAACTATAGCAACCTGACCGTCAAGTTATTCGCACAACCAGCTCCATGAGGCAGATCTATCAGTATTCAGCTGATCACTTGATCGACATTGAATCCCTCTCTCTCCCTCTATATACTCTGTCTTATGTGATAGTGTCATAGTGAGATCCTGAGTTTGTTACATAACTAGTAGCATGTAAAGTAGTATTAGCCTCATTGTTTCCACGGTTATTAGCTCGGCTGAATCTTACATTTAATGAATAGAAACGGGAGGATATTTTAGCTTAAATGCACTCTGGAATTGGCATACGGCCGATTATTCTTGCTTCTTACCCAGACTTTCTGTGCTTTTGATTCAATAAAGATTCTAGTTGATTCGTACCAGTCGCAATTTGTAGTTTCCGTCTATCTTTAAATCTCACGGATCAAAAATACTTTCTTCATTATTCTGCAATTATATTTGACCGAATCATATTATGCCAATACTCCTCGTTACCATCCATTGCTTGCGCTAAACAATTTAAATCCATATTTCCCTGCCATAATCAACGATTAATTAACCTAAAATACTATAAATTATAGTATTTTGGGCTGAATAAATAATCGAGTATGTTTTTGTATGTTCCATAATTCTTCCCACAGAATGATTATGATTTGTTAATAATTGTATTCTCTGCATTGTTACGACCAGGAAATTTACCGTCTGTTGACATGACGTAAAAATTTCCCAGGCAACAATAAGTACACTTGTTTTAACTTATTAAATACAAATTAACATGTACTTTCGGTTTTCTTTATACGGTGATATAATAGAGCTAATTAAAAACTCGGAAGGGCTCCTGAGCCGCTTTGAAGCCAAACAATATCGGAATACCTTATTTATTTATGACAACAAGTAAAGCAGACTGAGGAACCAGTGAACTTCGGCAAAAGCCTTCAAAGAAGTCCACAATAAATGTAAGAGATTTGTGGTGTTAATATCGCTATTATCGGGGCATGTTTATTTCTTTAGATTTATGTAAAAGATGTTATAAAATCCTGCCAGCTAGCTTTACTCCCGTCAATTTGGGCAGAAACTAATTAAAACTATTATGATATTTTTCTGGTTTCTCAATATCTCCTGATTTTAAAGAAAAAAAGCTCAGATACCAAAACTATTTCTAACATATTATTGTACTAGTATATCCTCCTTAGTGCTTATCCATCCAAACAATAAATTCCCTGTAATTGACATTATTTGATTAAACAGTACGTTGTCACAGACACATACAGTATGTCCGCAGCAGGGACAATGTCTTTTTTCAGTGCTACTCTTAATTCGTTTTTCTGACTTGTGTACCGTCGACACACAGCCAAAAAGTATCGGTACCGAATTTCTATCTAATAAGCAAATTTTATAGCTATATTTGTAGCGACGTTTCTTACACGTATGTTTTGTAGTTCTTTAGTGGCATTACTATGGCTACATTTAACAGCCATACCTAAACAGCCTTCTATTTTTACAAGACCAACAAGTATTGGTAACAAATTTCCAGCCATATTTCATACTTCATAGGGATTTTATAGGTATTTGGTATTTGGTAGACTCTGCAGCTATTCAATAGCTTTACTATGGCTACGTTTTACATAGCTACACAGTACCGGTTTCTAACTAAACGTGACCTCCAACTTACTGCTCTTTTAAATGTAGACTTCATAGCTCTGTAATATAGCTTTACTATTGCTACATTTTCTCTTTCGTTTACCACAAACTTCCATCGTTTATCTGACCTTTTTTCCTAAAATACAGCTCTCACTGAACTTCCAATGTCGTTTAGCCTGGACCACGGCACTTACCAACTTACGCTGAAATCACAATCCCATTTGCCAGTTGAATTGCACTGCAAAGAGACTTAGTAATTCTGTAATTCCGCTCTCTCTCTCTACCTCCGATTGGTGTGTAGGTACCCGAGTCTTTCCAGTAAAGGGGTTCAATGGTCATTAGAGCCTGGCAAATCCACATCCCTAACAACATAATTTGGACGGGTAGCTCGAATTTGCTTGTACATATATATAATATATACTTGGAGCAGTATGGAGAGGAAGTAGGTATTGTATAGCTGTAAGTGTTCATGGTCTTGTAATTATAGCCGGGGTCTACAGATCACGGTGAACACGCTGTAAGTTAGGGCTGATTGTCCTCTTTGTGTGTTTTTTGGGGACTCGAGAGCCCTCTCCTCTCCTCTCTTCTCCTCCGTTGTATAGAGCTACAGTTGTGACCAGGTTGTGTGAGCCGCTATGAATTTATGCACCGATATAGCTAATGATTATTCAGCAAACCACTTTCCACAGGACACCTTTCAGCGATATACTCTTTAACCCTTACTCACAATTATAGGGTGTCCTCGGCAGAGGATGATATATTGTCGAGATGGCTGCCAATTTTACCATTATTTCTGCCACAACTATTGACCATGATCGAGACCGGACTACATTAATAGGGCCACGTGGGACACCGGAGAACAGTTACTCCAACCACATCCCACTAGATGGACCACCACCAAGCGGCGAGGTTATCGTTATTAATGTCGCTGGAAAACGATTCGAGGTATTGATCCGCAATTTGTTGCTTTTTGCTTGCTTTTTAATCTTGAATCGTCATTTTTAATTATTTTCACGAACGAAAAAAAATCAGTTTTAAATTGTGAGCGTTTCGCAATGTCTGTTGTATTAACTGAAGATGCCACATTACTGAATATTTTCTTGTTTCAGACGTACAGGGAGACACTAGACCAGTTCCCAAACACCATGATGGGTAACAAGGCACTGTTCGCTCGGTACTGGAACAGCAAGAAGGAAGAGTACTTTCTAGACCGCAACCAAATGTCCTTTCCGGCCATCTTGTATTACTATCAAAGCGGAGGTGTGATCTACGTGCCCAACTCAGTGCCCAGAGAGATTCACCTGGAGGAGCTAGACTTCTACAAGATACAATGGCGAGCTCCGGCCGCACCTTCGTTAACCCTCGCTAAAATAGCAGAGGATTTAAACATGGAGGATCAGTCGAGATTTCAACAAATAAGGTGGAGGGTTTGGGAGTTTTTGGAAAGCCCCGACTCCAGTATTTATTCGAGGATATGGGCGCTGTTGGATGTGCTCATAATCTTGGTCTCGATATTGACAGTGATCCTTGAAAGCATGCCAGAACTGAAAGGACCTGAAAATCTGAAGGCGTTTTCGGTCGTAGACACTATTTGCGTGGCCTTCTTCACCTTCGACTTTCTCATAAGACTCTTTATATGCCCCAGCTTTTGTGATTTTCTCAAGACACCATTGAACATTTTAGATTTCTTAGCGATCATGCCTTTCTATCTTGAGTTGGCTGTCGGACGGCTGATTCAGGGCAGTGCCATGACCGCATTCAAAGTATTGAGGATATTCCGTATAATGCGGGTGATGAAACTTATTCGGCACAGCAAACGGCTCATTCTCATGGGAAGAGTAAGTTTGCGGAGTATAAAATGACGTGGGCAGGGTATTGATTGGGTTATTGTTTATTAGCTGCATAGAATGCGGGTACACTGTACATGATAACACATGGTAATAGTTAAAAGATTATTTACACAATTAAACCAGTATATTCTATAAGTCTGATCCTATGGGAGTTGTTGCTATCCCCACATACTAAATTTCCAAATATCAGGTGATACAGGATTGTCTTAGTGAACTGACCTTACTGCTGATAATATGGCTGATGGGGGTCCTAACCTTCGGGACTGTCATGTACTACATCGAGGGCGAGAAGAATAATGGCTTCGACTCTATCCTCCACGCCTGCTGGTGAGTGATAGTTTTCATAAACACTGCTAACTATTCCGATACAGTGTTCTTTTAGTTTTGTAGAACGGCGAACAAGCTGCCAGCCTTGTTGTTAAATTTCGAACGCGATCTTGAATTATGTGACATGATCCTACTATCATCCTCTCAGGTGGGCAGTGGTGTCCATATCAACAGTCGGGTACGGAGACATGTATCCCTCCACCGCCCTGGGTAAAATAGTCGGCTCCTGTCTCCTCTTCATCTCTATGGTGTACCTGGCTCTCCCAATGACTGTTATCGTCAGTAAGTTTAACAAAGCTTTCGAAAAGTTCAAAGAAGACGAAGTGGTTTCAGATCAACAGAAGGAATATACTCGATCCATCATCCACGGGAAGTACAATAACATCAACAATGGGACGGATCCAGAGGAAGCTAAAGCGATAGAAACTTAAATAAAAAGAACTGGCGCACTATGCAGCTGACTGAAAAAAACTTGCGAGGGCAAGAGTTTGTCTCTCGAATTTGGGTTCCAAGATTTATAGAACGAACTTTATTCAGCCTTCCAGATAACATTAACCAAATACCCTCTCTCAGTAGCTTTTATACATGTGGTTAAGATTTATGTAATTTATTTCCTAGATAGGTATATATGGCTGTGCTCTGTTGGATTTATAAGTTGGGCTCGACAATTAAGGAATAGCTTCTTTGCTCAATTTAATTAGCGGAAGATTGGAGCGGAGGAAAATAGCTCACAGTTAACGTAGGTTTCTAAATCTATAATGTACTAATAGGGACAGTTCAAAAAGAAAGGACCTTAACTTTAAGTTCTGGACACCAGATAAATAATTAAGAATAACTGTGGACTTATAGCTTGGAACTTTGAAAGGGTTTAGAAATTGTAAAATTAACAGCACATATTGTGTAGAAGCTATCTTGCATTTTGAGATGCTCGTGATTTTTGCTTCGACTGAATTGAATTGTTGAATCGTTTTATACCACGACGCTGCCAAACGCGCAGAATTTGGAGACTTTCAGATCTACAGGAAATGTTATGATGATTACGGTGTCTTGGGCTATTGAAAGATGATTTGCCCTCATCAATTCCCAAGATATAACGCATTTGGCGGGAGATTTTACCTATGTATTGATACAAGCAATTTATTTTTTACTGATTATTAAAAAGTTGTATCATTTGTAAACTCCTTACTATTTTAAATGTACTGAAAGTATTGTATTGCCAATATCGTTGGAGGTCCACTGAACGTGCTGGCACCTACTCAACCTAAAACTTTGAGTAGTCAAGAAAGCATATACTTTTATCATTGGTAGTGTAAATCTGTAATGTGGTAAGCCAGTTACAGCGGGGACATACAAAAAGGATGTTACATACAGAATGGAAAGTTATTGTGAGTGAAGGTCTAGTGTTTTTAACGAGGAGAAATGGTCGCGTTTCATCTATAGAGTGCGTGTGATTCGTGGGGACACTTGAAGTCACTTGCAGTCACTTGTAGTCACTTGTAATCACTTGTAGTCAAACAAGACCAGGACAATCACTTCTTATTCATTATTATTATAAATATACGCTCCTTGGAGGAATATGATTATGAGCGCAATTTTAGTGAACATGGTGTATGGTGAAGTGTACTGACAAAGTAATGAGATGTAACTGTAAAAAAGCGTTAAGGCGTGGACGAATTTAATTTCAAGCAATAATCGCTAACGGAGAAACTGCGGATTTTTAAAATTTTGGTCATATTTGAACAGATATATTGTCATTGAACCGTCGTTGGGCCCATAGCGTCGCGCACCACGACGTTGTGTCCCGGTACCTGGCCTCGTGCTGTAAAGTTTGTTCGCCAGAACCCCTTACCCGATTACCGTGTGTCGCGGAATCATGGGCTCCAGCCCAAGACATCTAGTTCGATCTCAAGTTACAATAAGACTCAGTGATTTCATGCCCTATGCACTGTGGGCTGAGACCTCAGAGCACAATATTTGGCCCCAGTTACGTTGAAGTCCGTTTTAGAAATCGATTAAATGTTCGGATGAATCTGGTTCCGGCAGAATGTTCGGCTAAACCATCAGTTCCCACTGACATCTTCCTATGAATAGAATTATTAAAAGGAATCTGTCTCATATTTCCTGGAGTAATGTTCAGCAAACGCTCGGACACTCAAAGACCGTTTTATTTAATATACTAAACTCCGTTTTTCTTTGACGATCTTCTTGATTTTCCGTCTTAAACTAAGCTTGCCGGGTTGCCGGACAATCTAGATAGCATTCCAGGATGCACTTAGTGACGCACTCAAGTCAATATAGTTAGCCTGTCAGTAATTTGGGTAGTCCGAGCGGATACCACTGCCGGCCAGGCTACCGTTATTGTTTATTTGGTCATGTTTGAAATTGACGTAACTGACCAAATAACTGACTATGCATCCGTGTTGTACGACTACGTAGAGGGCATATTAGTATTTACATATCGGTATACCGATATATACGCTATTGTGAAGCCAAACGTAATGATATAGGCTAATATATGGATGGTTGGACAAGTACAACTTGGCTTTTTTCGATGAAATTTGACGTCATGCCGATGTTCATATATGGTTTGATTTCAAATTCAATACAAAAACGTATGAAATTAATTACTGTTTTAAAATCTTGTATCATATTTCTTAGCCAATAAAATTTTGAGATTAATTACTAGTAACACGAAAGTATAAAAACTGATCAATTAAAGTGACTGGTACTGTGTAATTAAGTGAATTGCCCGGGTTTGCCTACACATCAGCTGTCACTGAAAAGTGTTTTTCACTATACCAATATACCACTACTATACTGTATAGTGTATACAGAATAATATAGTGCTGCCAATAAATATTGCGACCACCTTTTCCTGTTACTAGTACTACTTACTTTCAAAATGCTTTTGGAACCATGAAATTGAAATCCAGAGCGGGCCGGGTTGTCCGCACATCCAATATTCACAAGCCATACAGTTCGACACACACCCTAGATCGACACCTTCACTTTTAGTTCGCTCAATATTACTCTCGGTCTGAAGTCCAGCTTCCGGCGTTCCGCACGGTAGTTCGACACCAGGTTTTCCTTAATATCTAAGTCTAACACTAACAGTGACTACAGACTAGGGTAACTACTCTAGTGATCGAATGGCTCGCAATTCGCGTTGGAAACCCATCACTGGTTATAAATATAAATGAGGAACAATTTTCAAGTTCTTACATGATCCGGCCTGAGGCAACATTTAACTTTAAGTGCGGAAAAATTTGCAAAAAGTGCGATCCCGCGACCCGCACTTGCCTGACATTGCTTAATGTATGCACTGTGCGGCTAGTGTGCGAAATGTATGACAAACGTGCAGGGACTTTTCTTCAAGTTCAATTGGATAGGTTTCTTTTTGTTGGGAGCTGCTCAAAAAATATTACATGAGATTGGTTAAACTTAAAGAATTTTCACTATATGAACGAATAACCATGATAAAGGCCTGTGCGAATTAAATTGCAAAACGTATACGTATTTATCTCTGTGAGTGAATTTATGATCTTTCTGAAGGGGATGAGCATTATTTTTACTAGCAGGAACCCGTATAACCCTAAAAGGGTGTCAAGACTCAAGAGACTAAAATAATTAATACCTATTTAATTTGCGTTTTTGACACCACTTGGTGGTCCAAATTTTGGGCTCTAAAACTTCTATTTCTTGGCCAATTTTTTATTTTTTCATGCTGATTTGAAGGCCATTAAAGCATTTGGTCCAGTCAAAAAAGTTTCAGTTGTATATCTTTTACGGTTTTTGCGAAAAGTCGCGTTAAAGTTGATGCCGTGGTGTCATTAAAATGGTACGGATCCATATACCTTATCGGACCTTATTTGGACGGACATTACTTGAACGGACATAATTATGAACGGACATTAATATGAACGCTTATAGAAGGCAATCAAAACCATCAAAAATCCGAATTTTTTTCATCTTTTTTTTGACGTTTTTTTAATTTTAGCAAATGATTTTTAAATCCGTTTTCATACAGTAAGCAAGAAAAGCAGTCTTTAATCAGTAAAAATGTTAAAATATGTGTACATATGATCATTATCTAATAGTAATATCACATAATATCATCTTCATAAAATAGGTTTTCGTGCAGGGAGATATCCCGGTTTGTCTTCTACTTTATCGAGATGGGTGGTATGGTAGAAGGTATCGTAGCTGACATGTAAGCCACCGAAGGTCACCTATACCGAGTGGGGGGCTAGAGATAAAGTTTAAGCTGTACCTTAGGCATTCAAGTATCCCTCTAGTAGAGCAGTTGGGATCATTTCGTTGCCCGGTACAACTACAACTACGAGTTGGACAGACAACCAGTTGTAAAAGAAAAGGTGGAGGTAGAAGAAGCCGAAGATCAACTTCAAGATAGTGATCATGCAATAATGTAATATTTACAATTCAGATTGTTAAAATTTTATATAAAAAAAATTGAACGGACTTTAACTTGGACGGACATTTATTGAACGGACTTTATTTGAACGGACATTAAGGTGAACGCTAGGGCCTCCAGCGTTCAAGTAATGTCCGTCCAAATAAGGTCCGATCCGATAAGGTATATCATCTCGCTTTATATATAGAAAGATTCGCGGCGTGGCCCATTAGTGTTGGCACACAAGTGGTGGTATGTACAAAATTCCGCCTTAGTACTAGTAAGCCTATAGACCTTAGTTGTTGATGGTATTGGTCATGATACGATGAGGGTAAGTCTCGACTGACTCCACACAAAGACGTAAAACATGTAAACATGTAAACATGTAAACAATAAAGAGTTTACCGGTACAAAACTTTGAAGGAGAGCCATGTTTTGAGCTAGAATATGAAACAATTGCACTGCCACACGCGATATCTTTATATAAATATGATGAGGGCGTTAGTAAACTGACCATAGCTATACTAAAACCATATCATTTATAATTTAGTACTAAACTTTGTTTTTTCACGTTTTGAGAGTTGAATACGATTGGTTTTTTTTTCGTTCTAATCCTATTCATGGTAGCTCTGGAGCTGGCGATGGGTTCCAGAAGCATTCCATATCCAGTATTACGGTATATACAAGCCGGACAACCCAGGCGGTAATTGTTCAGAACGACGTTGGTATAAACACTTGCACAGGTTTTTATGTTTTTGTGTTATTAGTATTACAAAAATGGCTCTGAATTCCAGAGCGCGCCGTGTTGTCCACACGTTCGAATGTGCGGACAATCCCAAAACTCCAATCTAAGGCCACATCAGGAACTATGTCTGATGCTGACAGATTTTGGCGTTATTATGTTATTCCATCACAAAAGAAAGTCCCGGTCTCACCAGAAGAAGTGGCTAAACTACGAGTTACGACCGTCCATTGACCTCCATCAAATTGGATCCATGCAACTGTGTAGGATCTATGTACTTGAATTGTAGGTATAATTTATATGCTTGTCAAATGTATTTTGTGATTTTTTATCAATATCATGTACTGTCTATCTACAATTAATAAATCATATGTATAATATGATTCCGATTGTTCAAATTAAGGCGACTGAATTAGTGGACGACCAATTATTTAAATATCAACGGGATGAGATCCCGTCCATCCCGTCCATCCCGTGCATCTTCACTTGTATTCTCACAGTGTTGTTTCGTACACACCAATCTTTATGGAACGAATAGCACAATCACCGAATCACTTAAATGAACGCTAAACCGGCAATCCGAATATTATCCGTTCCATTCGGAAACCCTAATCTACAGTTCCGCAGTATAAGCGTACGGCAGTTCGACAGAGGGGAATGATCCCCTCCCCCTCAGGGGATTGTTTAAGTTCCGTCCGTGACAAACTTCAGTAGTTCAGCACGAGTTCAGCACGATTGTGACTACAGTACTAACCCGCTCCGCTTTGGAATTTCATCTTATTGTTTTAACTTTATTAACAGTTTGAAAGTAACACGAAAGTATGAAAACCGATCAACAATTAAATTGACAAGCATTATAGTACTAGTAGATCCGGCATAACCTCGACTGAGAAAAGTTAAAATAAACAACAGGAACATCTCACAACTTGTTTGATTATTTCTAATTTGTTTCCGATTAAGTCACTATTAGGATTTTAAGTGTATAAATTAATTTCGTGTGGACCTGAAAATCAACCTCCCAAAATATTGATGCAAGCTTGCTGGCCCCTAAAATTTAAATAAGACTAGCGAATCCATATTCACAGGCATAAAGCAGCACCTTGCCTTGGAAAACATGTAGACAAATAGAAAAAATTGGATTGCGGTTTTCCGATTCGTCCTACAGGGTACTTCAAAGTATTGATGGAGAGACTAACCTAATTTCAAGAACTTTCTGCCGGATTCTTGTCGCTTTAGCCTGGGCACCAAATTGCCGGTCTGAAAATTCGTCGACAAACATTTTGACAGTTTTATGATAAACTTTACCTATGACATTTACCATCGAGAGAGGAAGAACGCGATTCTACTTTTCCTATGTCCATTAGTTTCGTTTTCGGGTTGATGAGTTTGATAGCACCTTTCATTTTACTTCATTATAAAAAGAAGTTATATACCTTGTTATGGATATAAAGATAACCCTTCGAATGACTTGTTTAAATCGTAATTTTTATAATCACGTTACCAAGGTTAATTACGGTACCTTATTTAAGTAACAAGTTGGTTGATTACTGAGGGTACATATTGTGTAAGGTGTTATGAATGGGTCCCAATCCCTACTCCCATCGACCTTCACTTCCTGTATTATAATGGCTTCTTTATGTATCTTTCCTTATGTTATTATAATAACTACAGTGTAGTTACTGACTACTAGCATAATAAGTCGTAACTTACAGTAAGTGTTTTCATTGTTAGTATTCAATATTTAAATACCTTTTGTGGAAAGATTAGTTTGAATAAACTTAAATTGAACAAATTGTAATAATACATATTCTCTTGCATTAATATTATATTCTTCTACGTCAAATCGTATTTTGGGATTAGTCTCGCCATGATTTCCGTAACACGATTCAGAGCATGCATGCTTATTCTGTAAGCGTACCCATTCGACGATATATATTATAGATGTTGGTGCGCTAATTGTCTAAAAGTTGTTTACTAACATCTTCCTAAACTACGTTAAACCAAAGAATGTGGAAGAAAGATAGAAACAGAAGTTTAGGCTTTTAGGTAGCTAAAAATGCGATTTTGATATAACTGAAATTGTTAAGAGAAATAGAGAGGGAGAGGTAAAGGGTTTGAATATTTAGAAATTCTGGGTGGGATCAAGCTATTATGTGGCCGGAATCCCGGTTGATCGTATCTGAACGTTGAGTATAAGGTACTTTACGGTTAACTGTTTTGGAGTATTTTCAAGGTATTGAATGACTAATTTAGGCAAAGGTATTTAGTGTTAAAAATTATTTACGTTGGAATTAAAGGTATGTCTTGATTCCAAAAATCGATATGAAGTAAATTACGTAACTTTACTCGTTTTCCGTTAAAATTCCAACGGAAAGGATTTCCGGAATGTACAATGAATCTCACAGTAAAAACACAACATGACAAATACTGTCTCCAGACACTAGTCCCCCTGCAACAGACGCAACTATGGAGGAGGCCGTTTCCGTACAAAACGAAACAAGCATAACAGACTTGTAACTCAGGTGAGCTAATGGAAAAGGTTAAACTGAAGCCGGTTTTTTGGAAATAAGTTATGACTCCACGATTTATGTAATTGAGTTACACTCGATTTTACAACATCAAATCATCACACAATGCCGGAACAGAGGAATATTTGATTAGGACGTCTCGAATAGCCCCTTGTTGATATCGGAGAAGCACGGTTAAGAAGCAGCACGTGCAGGAGTGTGCGCGTCATGTGACGTCATCACACATCACCATGCCAACGAACACGTGATCCGGCATGTAGTCTGAGCGACGATCATATCATGCATTCGTAAGAGCTAGGAACGGGACCGGGGTAAGAGACATCGAATATGATATGCAATTAAAACAAGCAGAGGTTATATCTGGAGATGTGCTACTGTGAGCTCCTCAGAGTCCTTGTTTGTTTAGCCAGCTCCATTGCCTGAATTACTGTTTGTGCTACGTGCATTCCCCCCCCACACATTGCCTATCTGTTCTGTTGTTCATTCGCCAGTCACCCCGGACCCCTGCCGGCTGTCCCTGTAATACTTGTACAGGGCCTGTATTTAATAGCTGCGTGTTTTAATAGTTTGAACGTTGTTTTAAACCAGTTGTTACCTATAATCTCCGATAGTATATCTCGTTACCTCGAGGTTACAGTAAGCTAGAGACTCTTAGTCCCGGCACATTGGTTCCTTTTCTCAGAGCAGTTAAACCTCTGTCAACACCCTAACAAGGTGGTGTTTCTCTAAACTTAATTATAAACAAGAGCCCTCCTCCAGACCTGCACTCAGAGAAGCCCGACACGTCTATATCTGGATTTAAACTAGGTGGTTGGTATGATAAGAGTAGCGGTCCTACTTACGGTGCGCTATCTACTATCTAGGTAAGTAGTTAGTGTATCAGCTCGTGTCAGTACCCTGAGGGTGGGGGAACAGTGCTGATGTGTGGAGACGCCTGGTTGTCATGGTGATACCTAGTTACGAGATACACTGCACCAGTCAACACAAATCATACTGATCATTAACCTATATCACGACTCAGTGTCGTGCAGCAGCTCTGAACAGTTTTACCAGATTTTAAACGGAACTTATCCATATTTACTTGCTTCTTGCTAAACAGTCCGGTCCTTACTTCTTGATAGCCAGTCTCTAGTATTAGCAGTAGTATTGACTGATGGGTATGTGTCGCCAGAGCTCTCTCTCTCTCTCTCTCCAAGCAAGTCTGCCCTCCCCCGAGGATGCCCACATGACGTGCATAACATATGAGAAATAGCGGTCTGCTTGTTTAGCTAGATATATATATATATGTATGTGTGAGTAGCTAAGCTGCTAAGTAGTTATAGCTAACATGTGAAATACAAGTATATATAAGGAGATGACCAATCAAGCATTAATCAAAGACGCATCAAGCAAATCTAACCCTCGGCTCACTAGCAGTAGCGAGCAGTCCGCTAACTCAACTATTCGACATCCTTTGGCAAGTATGATAATTTCTCCTTTCTCACGAGTGACTCTGAGTAAAAGGCTTCACGGCTGGGTATTGTGGAGTTTAGGTGGTTTCTCATGATCCTTTTGCTTGGGGTTGAGTTTTGTGACCGTATTTGGGCATGACAGATCCCGGATTTTGACCTGATTTACTAGACTTATTTTAAATTGCGTTCGTTAACTTCAAAACTGCTTACTTTCCGTTTCAAAACTTTGAAAACTTGATAGGGCTTTACGTATTTCATATTGCTTCTTAACATTTGGCTTGTTAAAATGGTATAAGAATAAATATAAAATATGTTGACTCCATTCCATCGGAATTCCTTAGAGTTGAGATAAACCGGAACCCGGCATTTACAGCAATGTAACGACCCTGATGAACGCTGGCCGCGAAAAGCTGGCCCCTAAACTTGGAACTTTATTGTAATTTCATGCTTTTTTGCGGCGGTTTGTAGTTTTGTAAATCATTTACAGTAAGGATAAAAAGAATGCACACGATTTGAAGCCATATCCATGTGGGAAACATTTTGGCTATGGCCAAGGAGTATGATATGTTGTGTTGGGGTACTGGTCTAATCCAGCTGATAACGGTTTATTTTCCATAATAAATATAAAATATAGATAGAGTCACACGGTAAACTTGCAGCATATAACTTTGAATTGCGTTATAGGTTAATTTCACCGAATGTAATAGCCACCAAAGTCGTTAAAATGTTCAATAACAAAGTTAAGAAAAACTTACATTTCCACAGCGGATGAAGTGTTGAAGTGTTATCAGCATTCCAATGTAGGTGATTGTTTATTTAAATCGTAGTACTAGTGATACGTCTGCCAAATAACCTGAAATAATAAAATGTTCATTAACTGATAACACTATCCGGCCATTTCCAGTTGTGTATTTTCAATTATTAACTTTGTCGTACCGCCGTTAAGTTTTCCATTGAACTCTTTAATATTTACTGTGATGATTGATTGAAAGGTGGATGGTGCCAGGTACTATTACAAAATGTCCATCTTTTCTCCACTGGAATCCATATCAAACAAGGAAACACCTCCGTCCCATACTAATCAACTTATCAATAGCAGTTTCTGCCTCAACACATTTAGGAGTTAGGACCTCTATAATAAACTATGAAAATTTGAGCTGTGAAGTGCAACTTCCACAGCTACACTGGTACACTGGTCCACAGCCAGACGGTGGTGACATTAGGTGTCAATTACCGAGCACACCGCGGCTCTTCCTAGACGTTCAGATACTGCAGCTGTAACGGACCTGACAAAGTGGCCATCTCCCAATAAAGGTCCACATCGAATGTTAGAGTATGAGGGAAGTTGATGTGCCACAATAATCGAGACTGAAACCACTGTTGAGACTGCTGAGAATGTTGAGACTCGGACATCAGGTCAAGTGGTCCGACTCCATGTGTATAATCCATGAGGTATAATTGTACAGTCCGCTTAAATTTGTAAGCGGGGTGACAGACGACCCTTAGTCAATGTAGTTATGTAATTTCCGTATCAAGCGGCCTGCCAGACCCTTTGTGTAGTACAGGTTATACTGTGTAGTACAGGTTTAATACTGTACACCTGCCTACAGCTTCTTAGTGTTCTAACTTTCTCACGAGGATGTTTTGGCTTGTTTCTATTTCCATCGTGACAAACGGGCATTTATATATCCTTGCCTAGAATTTCGGGTAATGTTACATTTTCGCTTGAGAAGTCTCCTCGTATTTCTGTTACTACAGCCTGTTTTCTTGTTTTGAAATAAAAAGTAGAAATTTAATTGCTATGCCTACATATAGAATATACACAGAATAGCCGCAGTAAATTCTAATATTTAATTAAGATAATTTATCTCCTCAATGCTCTAAAGCTGCTGGTAGACGTAACAATTACGATTTACATAGTAGTAGTAGTTGCATAATATAATGTATAAGCGTAGTTAACGATATTTCTTAATTAATTTACTTTACACCTCACTATGTAATCAAGGCGACAATCGTGAAACTAGCTGAAGAGGGTTCGTAGTCCCTAGCAGCAAGTTTCATTTGTTAATGTTCTGAGAAATCTTATAGTTAAGAGTTAAAAGTTAAGACATTACATAGCTTAGAGTAACAGACTAGTTAAGAGTTAAGACATTACATAGCTAAGAGTAACAGACTAGTTAAGAGTTAAGACATTACATAGTTTAGAGTAACGGACTAGTTAAGAGTTAAGACATTACATAGCTTAGAGTAACAGACTAGTTAAGAGTTAAGACATTACATAGCTTAGATTAACGGACTAGTTAAGAGTTAAGACATTACATAGCTAAGAGTAACGGACTAGTTAAGAGTTAAGACATTACATAGCTTAGAGTAACAGACTAGTTAAGAGTTAAGACATTACATAGCTAAGAGTAACAGACTAGTTAAGAGTTAAGACATTACATAGCTAAGAGTAACGGACATCATCACACTTTAGGCAGAATCCTACACTGCGGTGTCAAGTGACACTCCGCTCAGCAGCAACTCAATGTCAATGTTTGAGCTCTATGTTATAGCTCTCGGAGCTCTACTCTAGCTTTACTTGTTCCGAGAACAGTAGCTCCGCGAGAACAGTAGTGCTAAAGATCCACCACTAGTTGCGAATGTAATCTCGAGGAGGCGCCAGCTGACTCCGTTGTTAGGTTGAGATTCTCAGACCGGGTTTCAAGTGTTTAGGCCACGTACTAATTCAACGCTCATTTTACCCGTCTTTTGTGCTTTGAGTTATACATAAAGAGCTCGAGTTTGACTTTGATGCTGCTAGTGCTACCGTCTAACGGAACATTTCCTTTGCTTTGCGAATCTGGAAGGAAACGTTTGAGGCGAAGGATGGAATTTTTCATTGCGAATCGGTCAATTCTCATTTGTTTCAAAATAGCGGATTCTACCGCAACTTTTTTCTAATTTTTGATACCAACTCAATCGGAGGCTGCACCTGGTTATCACGATTCACGAGCTCTCTATTACTTAACTGACCCAATTACCTCTGCAAATAAACCAAAATCACTCCTCCGCTCAATTATCAATAAGCATGATCGGATCATATTTACGGTTATAATCAGCAATTTACCCGGCCCTAATTAGGAAGCTCGTCGTAATTAGGTCCCTTAAAACTTGTTGATACATTTAAATACCTTGTTGGTAATGGTAACAAGTAGCCCTGCCTGGAGTTGATTGTTAGTTTAGCTAATAGCTTGTTGCTGAGAGGAGGTACCTTTGGGTTCTATTTCGGTCTAATGTATCCAGTTAGGGGTTAAAGACCCTCCACCAAAACATTTAAACCTGCCTAGTTATAATTGATCGACCTAGGCAGGCAGTTATAATTGTGTTATGCTTTACATGCTGTGTCAAAATAAACATATCCAGCTGTTCATTTGTGTTTTGTTCCCAGACTTTGACTTTTTTGAGGCCCGCAAGCCCTTTTATCATATCGATTTGTATGCACAAATATAAGTTTTACTTGTGGGAGTTAAGATTCGTTTTTGTTGGTCATTATTATCGACTCAAAGCTCCGAAAATAAGATTACTGTAATTACGACTAATTACCCTTGTTCTGTGACAAAGCCTGAATGTAGTTAACGTTACAAAGCGGCGAAAGCTGTGAGGCTAATTGCACAGAGAGCAGGGATTTAGTGTCAGAGCGGAGGATTAGTTCCCACCTCCAGGGTGATTTGACACGAGATATTGTGACTGATATGGTATCTCAGCTGACACATGTGGCACACGGCTCATATCCTGCTCTAGTAAGCAATGAGGGCACACTTCCTGCACCGCTGGTGTAATGACACAGTAGACTCACCTGCAGCAATACTCACTACCTAGTCCTTTATATTCTGAGCCACATCACATACTTCTATGTTTTCTGTTGTTCGTTACTGCTCATTTGTCTGGTTCGAAGTTTTAGATAACTTGTGGAGAAATAAGTGGGTTTTCTGGGAATGCTCTATAGTTAAGTAAATATTGAAGCGCGGTCGAATGAAATTTCAATCATATTAAATTGATCTTTAGCTCTTTAGAACGCGGTCACGGATTCGTTTATTTCTTACCTTAGAAGATTCTTAGTTTTATTAGTTGCGTAATGGACAGTGCAGTGCCCAATGCCCATCTAAATGCATGACGATTATATCGTTTATCCATCTTTCAATGCTAATTCTTGCACCCATCTTGCTTCATGATGGTTAATGTTATATCGTTGATCCTTCTGCTATGCTGGCTAGCACTCGTCTTGCTTCAGTCTCAGATTAGTTATATCGTTGATCCTTCTGCTAGTGTTATGCTGGCTAGCACTCGTCTTGCTTCAGATTGGTTACATGGTTGATCTACCGTCAATAGTAGCTAGCACCCGTCTTGCTGCATGACAATACCACCGTTCACCCTACCCCCTCCAATCATACCATGTTTGGGTTAGAGAGATCTGGGATTGTTTGAGATGCAGGTTCGACGCTTCTGCCCCTCAGGGACTCCCCGCGCTTGTTAGAGCCAAGGCTGTCCCGGCCATTAGCATGTAAGGCAACCAATAGGCTATGCAGATTACATAAGTATTGTACCTGGCATTATTACAGGGGATCTATTTTGGTTTACAATCGACCCTTACCCCTCCTTGCTTGTATGGAGGGTGGGTGATAGCTTTGCTTATGTTTGTTCTAATAGAGCATTGAGAAGAGACGCACGTTGAATTGTGATAAGTCGTCAGGTTGATGCTTTGAGTCCTTTGTTTTCTGCACTAAGCTGTACTGATACTACATTTCTAGAAGACTCGCTGTTATTATTCGTGAATCACTGAGATGTGCTTTGAAGGCCTGGTGCTTGGTTCTTTATCGTTAGATGTTAGCTGTGTGGTTAAGGTCCATCATTTCCTTGTGCACGTGCATGTGTCTTAGGACGTGGCCTACTGTGTGCTACACATCTTTGAACGAAGTAAAACAGCTCAAATATGCATCTCTGGTTTTAGACTAAAATTGCATGATTGTATGCTTGGTTTTTACCAAGTAGCCAGCACAACGCTCAACTTGTAATGATTATGCTATCATGTATTGCACACTATCATAGCACGGATCAAGATAATGGCGAGATGCACTGCTCGCGAATCCGCGATGCTGTTGCCTTCATTTTATATTGTTTTGCTGGTTCACTCCGCTAATAGTAATACGAGCTCGGCACTCCTTCAACAACATGATAACCAGAAACAAGAGCCCCAAATTAGATCTCAACCCGATGAAAACCGGAGGCGAGACAGTGCGATCGCGATGATGGTCGGCTGATCGTAAACTCCCCTCCTTATCAACGACCGACCATCCTCGCCTCTGTCTCTTCATAATGCACCTGCTATCTTCGGACCAGCAGGACTTCAGATCATAGTGTCGACACCATCCCTCTTTACTTAGCGTTAGTAACAGAGTATCATGTTTCAGAGGACAGTTAGGTTGATTCGTGTAGTACTACTACGTGCGTGTGTTGTTTTGCCAAGGAGGAGGAGGAGTAGGGTAGCATGGTACCTGTACTTCCCGTTCATATCCGTATCTAGTTATCGTTAGAAAACGCTCGTTAGTCTGCAGTTACAACAGCGCTCAGGGTAGTTTGATTGATGACGGTAAATTTATCCGTCTTTAACAAGGATAATGTCGAGTCTGTGAAGGTAATTTTATGCGTATTTCATTCGGGCCGGATTATATTTTAAAGAGCCGCGTTGTGATTGATAAATTGATTAGTTACGTTTTTGCCGTTTCCGATTCTCCGTTCAATGTAACCAGGCGGTGAGATGAGCCGCTCAGCGATGAATCCATTCATCAAATCTGTGAATGTAGATTGTTTGGGTGCTGCCCTCCATTCAGAGCCTCTGATTTACGAAGTAAGCTGGTGACAGAATCTGACCAATTAACCTTAACTCCGATAAGGGGCGATGACGCAGCAGTATTGATTAGTTTCTCGGCATTGTTTTGGAAAGGATCAGCCCACACCTACCGACGTCGTAAGACCAGGAAATTAGATCAGAAACGTAGGACAATAACGAGCTACTAAATTGAGTAAACTTACAGGCTTCCGATATTAATTTCAAATTCGCGGTTTTGGGTTACTGGGCGATCCTAATGGACTGATAACTTTTAAGATGCAGTCAGAAATCCAACACAGTTGTAGCTACGGTCTCCTAGTTCGTGTGTCGTTTTATTGCTAAGCTCTTATGGTTTCATAACTTATGGTGAGGTAGTCGCAAGTCGTTTTATTGTTTAACTCTGCTTTCTTGACTCTTGGCAAGTTTTATACTTCGAGTCAAACTCTATTAATATCATACTTCTGGTTTTAATAATCCTTTCAGTAGTTCACTAATTCCATAAGTGTTGGTCGTGGGAACGGAGCAAACTACTTGATAGGGTGGGTACTGGATATTTAAACAAGCAAAATTAGTGATATAACTTTTAACCGTAATACTAGCTGACCTACTCGCACATGACCTTACAAAGCGTTGCGTGTAGAAAGGTTCATTCTGTAACTATCACGGCAGTGTTTTAAAAGTCCTGTGACTGCCTCAACCGTCAGCAGACTCCAGATGGTCAGGCTAAGTGGACCTAGAAGAAGCTTGTTTTTAACGTTAGATTTTATACGAGGATTGAATTCACTGCCAAACTCGCAGCCGGTTTCCACACACACACCACTTAAACCACTGCTTACTACGTGAGCAGATAGTTGCATAATTTCGCACACATTATCGTCGAGTCTGTCAAACCCAGATCAAGTCGCTCTTTCTCCTTGACAGAATTCGCATAAAGATGCAGGTTCTTAGCTTTCTGTGGATTCTAGCAGCAGCTCGATACTTTTCAGTTTAACAATACAATTTGACTTTTCCCAAGTCGCACATTTATTCAAAATTACCTCGCAGCCCTATTACTGTCAAATTTGTGACGGAGCTTACTTTAAGTTTAATAACCAACTTTAATTCGCCAGAGCTATCTGGCGAGCGATTGGCAGCCCACTTAGCAGATTAACTCTGAGAGCTCGAGAGCATATGTCCCGGCCTCTCGAAATCAGCTCGCAATTGTGGGGTGTTTTGACCTTATACGGCCCTCACCACATCCCATTCATTAAGTTATTTGGTAGAGCTCGGCACCAAGTGAGCATTGCACTGCGGTCTGTACATTGTGAGCTATTGTCGGAAAATTTGTAGTTGTCTTAAACTTGATCGTATAACCATAGTTTTGTGTTTAGTCGTCAGCTACGAAGCAGTGCCCAGTTTAACGAACAAAAAGATTGACGTAAAGAATGACGTCGGGGATCTAGGTACAATGAGCTCAATTAGCGAACAGGATGTTTTCTCATTTATCTCTTAGTTGTTCGGGTCTTGATCGAATTTTTTATGTTGCTTAAGTTCTCTCCCATAGAATCTTTTCTTTGAGTCAATCAGCGCAATGTTCACAAGCTGCGCCAAGTCTGTCTAATTGGGTCATAATCCCGCCCTAAACAGAACGAATCCTTCGTTCTCATGCCCTTAACACGCACCTTGCTATCCAATATGCCACCTTAATTGCGAACCGATTTAGTAAAACCAATGTTGTAGAATGTTCGTAATCGAATCAGAATCAAGTTCAAGCGTCGCTAAGATCTATTATACTGAGGGAACATGATTATGAACATGAGGCAACATGTACATTAGGAAATTTATTTACTGGAATTAAAAATGACGTTCCTACGCTTACAAGGTGATCAAGAAATACGATGTTCAATTGTTACATTTCTCCAATACACAGATATGGACAAATTGTTCTGATTGCAGTAAACAACTGCCTAAAGGTTGAAGCAAGTTTTAAATCATCAGGCATACCTGAATATTGTGAATAAATTGAGACTTGTTTCTGTTAACATATGGCTTCTATAATGCAGACCGCTCAAAACCGTGACACTATTTTATGAACACCCTACAGAAATTAATCGCAAAATCTAACCGTCTTTTAGTAACAATGCTACGTTGTAACTTATTATTGCGAGAATTTCTTGTTTTAACATGTTAACCACACCTATGCTAAAGCATCCTTACAAATCCTCCAAATAACTTAGTTTTTGGTCGGCAATCTATCATATTTCGTTATAAACATAATTGTTGTTAGTAGTCGCAAGTTTAAATGATATTTACAAGTATCTGCAAGTTGTTCGGGTGTGTATCAACTGAAAAACAGCTGCCACAGCTCTTGTTTTGATAAAGGAGTAACACATCCTTCACATAAACTATCCTTTGAGTAAACTATCAACTAACACAACTTTACCCATCTGGCTTATTTGTAACTGCCCGTCTCGAGATAAATAAAATCCTGAGATAACCGTGGTTTGCAATCGTTTGCATACAGGTCTTTATAATGAATAAAGTTCACCAATCAATTCTACCCCTAATGTGATCAGATAATCAACGGAGGTAAATTCGTCTCCTTTCGTAGCTATTTGTAAAGCACTAACTGCCTACCCTATCAAGTAGAAACAAGTAGCTACTTATCTTCATGTTGTCTACTCACCATTTAACAGTTTAACTAGGTTGTTGTTATCTCACGACTGATTGACTAGACAAGCTTGTTGATGGACGACTTAGCCTCTCGAATGAAAATTCCCATGCCCTTGACATGCAAGCATCTCGTTAATCACACGAGCCTTAGTGCAGCTGATCAAGTGTCCCGGCAGCAGTGCAGACTGTATCACACGTGTGAAGCTAGGGTAACAAGACGTAATCACGTGACTGGATCCACCTAATTGATTAGGTCGGTGGGAATCTCCCATGACTACATTGACACATAACATGCACCTAACTGATACATATATGAAGACATCTATCAACCTCAGGGCATCCAATTCAGTGTCAGTTCCCCTCAGTTTAGGATTGATTGCGGTTAATCACGCCCTGTTGGTTGTCACATGGCCCTATCAGCATAAGTGTATGTGGTATGCTGCCCAGTTTAATTAACTTGGTCACGTCTGGTACATTTCTATAGAAGTCATTTAGTTCACGCTGTGCTAACGATTGCTTCCGTTTAAAATATTTTCCAGCCTTGCATCGCTTCTCTTTGAATTTTTCGGAGCAGGCGTGCTAACGTCCTAACCTGGTGTTGCGGTGACGACAAGACCGTTTTTAGTTTTATGTAACGGTTTTGCATTATATAAAAATGCGCCATAGATTGCTTCCACAACCCTTTCCATTAATTTTTATTCTGCGATACCGGTATAATTGCCGTTCAACAAATATTATTCCGGCAGCTTTTAACGCATTCTAACTTAGTTTTGTATCGGGCCGGTCTAAGCTTTGCCACAAATTGCGTTCGTGGTAAACTTATCATAGACTTTCATCGAATTTCTGAGTGTAGATTGCCAATTCTGACTTTTATTTTTTGCTTTTTAACCGTATTTCTCTATTAACGTTTGTTTAACTTGATGACCTAATTTCTATCCTAAATCTTCGTTTGTTCAGAATCTAGCAATCATGAAAACAGATCAGAAATCAACCGAATGTACCAGAATGGGAAACTACACGCTGTCACATCAGGGGACCTTCCAAGGACGACATATCTGTCTAGCCAGAGACGATCAGAGCAAAACTTATACGTGTAAACGCAGGACTGGTACGTGCACTTGTTGTTAATATTCAGTTTGTCTGCTGCTAAATTGCTACATTTTGCGATTGATACATCAGTAAGATTACGAAACAAAGTTTAAGTTTTGGAACAAGGAAACGATTACATAATGACTTATCGGATTTCATAAAATTTTCCAAATAAGCTCCTGTCAGTTCTAACCAAACCTTTTTTGTTCAGGAGCCGAACTAAACCACATCAGAAAGGTGCAGCTTGCTCTAGGAAAATGCTCACGAGTACTACCAATAATGAACGTTGTGAATACCGGCAGTATCTTGACAGAAAGCTTCACCTTCCAGGATCAAATCAGAGGTTTGTTTTAAATCTTATAAACTTTCATTTAATATTTCCTGTGACCCAACCGAGTGGTAACTTGTGCTTATTCCTGAAAGTCAACTCATCAGTCACTATTGAAAGTATCCGATTGTTCCACGATAAGGACAGGAACGAAGATAACACAATAAGTGCTAACATGTCCCTCTCTTCCAGGCTCACTCGCTGACCTCGTGGCTAGGAAAGGACCCCTCCCTGAAATGCTAGCTGCCAGAATAATCAGACAAGTGCTTCAGTGCCTGAACGACTGCCATTCGAAAGGTGTCGTCATTCAAGATTTGGAGCTAGACCATTTTGTCATCACCAGCTCATCAGAGTAAGTTTTAGCATTTCTTGTTCAAGTTTAAATTTTGTTTCTGAAGCAGTGTGAAACTTATGTTGCTGCCAAAACGTGTCGGTGTTGAAACGACGGGGGTCTCCGACTTTGAAAGTAGCAAATATGTGAGCCTTATACGATGCACGTGTTAAATTTGTGTTTTGATAAGCACCAACCGCTGGAATGACCTTTTCATTATCTTATTTGGAAGCATCACGCCACAGACGTTCAAAAGCAAGCAAACTTGGAGAGATCCCAACACATGCATATCTAAATCACCACGATTGTAAAAGTATGCGCTTTGAAGCATTAGCAATGAAGCAATGACGATAAATTAGAGGGTACCTTGACAAAATCGCCAAGATTCCCAGTCTGAATTGCGAGCTAGACGGAGCCCAAGGTCACGACCTTGCTCCATGCCTACGCGTGGAATGTCTAATTTGGTAGTTTTTACAAGCATTACAATCCCCTGCACAACAAACATAACACCAAAATAGCATGTTAGGTCCCCGAGCTGTATATTCTGAATAATGATCATTCAATTGTGTTGAGTCTGTAACTGTAGGGTGCATGGTGACGCTTGGCACGATGACGTGAATTTGCCTGGATCCCTGTCTAGTTGTCTATCATTCATGTCTACCGCTGCGTAGTCGTCAGGGGCAAATTTAAACTTACAAGTGATTAATCTCGGGTATGCTGCTTCCATGAGAATCACAAATCGTCCAGCTAAAATCTGTGTGAAGTCTGAGAGTATTGAGCAGAGATCTTAAAACTTTCACACAGTCTAAGATAATAAAGGATCAGACAGCGGTACCAGCAGTTCTAAAACAAGGCATATTTCCGAGGGTCGATATGGTGCTTCTCGGAATTCTATCTCTGACTCTATATATTGATACATAGTTATACCAACCAAAAATTAACAAAAAGTTAACAAAGTGACTAACGGATCAATTATTTCAGTGACAAGATCTACTTACACGACGTAGTTGACTGTGATATTTATCATCCTGATGCTGATCACGACGCTCCTATCAACCCCTTCACCGCTCCTGAGGTAAATAACTAATTAACATTTAATTAACTTACAATTTTAATTGTTGTACATACTCTTTATAATATGTTTTGGGTTTTCAAACGATAACTGAAACTTTTAGTTACTAGATTGATCCAAATCAAAACGAAATAAACATCACTGATCACTGATTACATTTATTAAATACTTTTCAAGAATATATTAACTTGAAACCGATGACTAACTGGAATTTGCTTCTACAGGTAATGATGAGTTCTCAGCACACGACCACCAGCAATGTTTGGTCAGCAGGAGTCATGTTGTACGTCCTACTCTCACAGCATTGGCCTTTCTTCGGAAACACCAAGGAGGAGCTCATTCAGTCTATATTCTCCGGCCAATACTTCGTACATCCTTGCGTAAGTTTTATTATCAGATTTACTTCGAATACATATGTTTTTGAGAATTTTAATAATCCTCCTCGTATTATAACGAAGGAAACCTACCTCTTCTTCAAATTATTCAATTTTGTATTGCATGTTGACTATTAACATTTTTCCTAAGAGCTCGGAGCTAACCATGTTAAATTTCAGTGGTCCTACGAACTGAGACACCTATTCCACTGCATGCTGTCCGTCCAGCCCAGCAGACGACTATCAGCGACCCAGATCCTCAGACACCCCTGGTTCCGTCTGTGTGAGGCAATGGAAGTGAGACACAAACTCAACTTGAGATCCTCATCAGAGCAACAGTACACCAGATCCACGTCAGATCAGCCAATGGACGCTGACAAGTGAACTTGAAACCCGGGTGTGTGGGGATCAGCCTGCCATTTTCGGAGTTTTCAGTTTGTAATTCAGTGCAACGTTGTCATATCCAGCAAATGAAGAGCAATATCGAGCGCAATGCTGTCAGATCGTACAGATGGAGTGCCATTAACCGCAAGGATTGAACTCAAGGGCGAGGAAATTCGTTTTGGACAGCGATAATGATAAGACTGAATAGTTTTGACAATTTTTGTGTGGTTTTGTGATCATTTTAATTGAAGCATTATTATGAAGCGACAATGACTGCAACTAGATTAGAATTTTGTGATCCTACGAGGATATTTTGATTTGATTTACCGTTTTGATAATTTATTAAATAAATTACTGCTGCAAAATGTCGTGTCATATTCGTGTGTCGGAATGAAAAGCAGGAAAACGAATATTAAATTGCAAATATTAAATTATAACGAATATAAAATTGCAATAAATACTTAATTGTAACAAATATTAAATTGGAACATGAGTAATATGGATATTAAATTGCAATGCCGACAGTACAGACAGTGATTTCACGTAATGTGATACGTTATAAAGATTCAAAATTCAAAATTCAAAACAGATCAGCCAATAAATATATTAAGATTCAAAATTTAAAACAGATCAGCCAATAATATATATTAACAACTAAGTTAAGTCCCCTTAATATTTTAATATAATACCCAGTGGTATTTGAATACCGCTAAATATCCATTTTAATAATAATATCAATTAATAGTTGCGGTTATATTGACTTGTCGAACAGCAATTTATGATTCCGCTATCTTTGTAACTATCGGTTACTAGATGAGTGATGTGTGATGACGGATCGACCACATATCATACGAAGATCCTAAGCCTAATGAGAAAAAGTGCTGCATCTTGAAATTCCAGTAACCTGATATTGAAGTTGATGGAAGGGGGGGGGGGGGGGGGGAGGGGGGCCGCCGGCCGGGGAAGTTGAAATCAAGCAAAAGCTATTTTGTTTGAAATGCCTCATGATCATGAAGAGGGTGGTTAAAAATGGCCGAAATCTCAAATCTGGCTGACGCAATACGATCCCATGTTATATCCCAACATATCGTTCTGCGTAGTGACGTGCGTCTGGATAGTCTTAGCTCAGCTCTTGTTACCACTTATCCCACCTCTCAGTCTCACTCTACACTCGACTGTCACGTAACTTTTTCAACCCGTTTTCTAGATGGCCCTGAACGACTATTCGAAATCCTAACCCTCTAATATGATCCTAACCCTAACCCAGGCCCAATCCCTAGCAAAGGTATATGCTGAAACCCTAACCCAAACGAGAAATTATACCAACTGCCTTATACGGTCGGTCATATCACGTGATCGAGATGATTTTTCGCCAATATCTCGCCAGGGGAGCATTTTAACCCTATGTCAGGGGGGTGATTCGGAATCAGCGTCCGAAAATACAATGATCCAAGTTGGTTTCAGCTGTCGGAGTGTAGCAGTAGAGTGATTTAGCACGCTCGCTCACGTGTGGCAAGCATTTACCAACGAGATCCCACACCATATACATGGGGACACAGTGTTTACAGCCAGAATACAAATCACTCCGTCTGCAAATTTGTGTATAGCTATTGTGATTTGTGAATAAATTAAATTATCGTCATAATTTACCTCATAATCAACTATCACAATATGCAGTTACTATCATGGACCTCAAATGGAACAATCTTGGCAAAAAATAATTTAAAATAATACATAATAATTATTAAATAAAAGTTCTAAACAGGGGATAGTTAAGATAGTTATCAAGATTTTAATAATTTGAAAGAAATAAATAAACAAAAAGTTATTGCGCTCGTGACCAGTAGTAATGTTTCATACCATTATGCATTACCAAGTGTCTTGTTTCTCACTCCTATGTATTTGTAAAGTTTCAATAAAATGCCACTTACTTGGGAGGCCTATCCAGTTAATTAACCCTCGTAAAAGTGTGCCTTCTCTTTGGTAATGATACTTTTCTTACAAATACACTGGAGTTACTCTGTTCAGGCTGAGATCGATCACTTTGGCTATCCCTACCCGCAGCTTCGGAATTCACGGCACTATCAGTATCACTCCCCAGATCTTGAGTAGATTTGGTCATATCGTAATCAGGATCCGGCAGAATAGCGTTCATGTAGATATCCTCAACTAACAGGGATCTAACAGACATTTTACCTTTCAACATTTCAACCTGTTTCTGGCGGTGGGCCAGCATGAGCTGATAAAAACAGCAGTTGAAGATGGCGGTGAGGATTGTGAGAACCAGTGCTCCCACTGCAACACTCACGAATATAATAACCCAGGGTATCTTGGACAGCTCTATCTCCCCGAGATACTGTACGGAAACATCAGCTGTTTGCCCAGAGGTGTACCACACTATAACATAAACCTGGTAAATAAACTCCTTATCTATCTCCCCGTTCAAATAGGTCTCGTAGATGTACCGATCTCCTATTTGTAAACGTCGAGGTAGGGGTGTGGTTGTGAAGGATGCAGTGACGTAGGGGCTCAGAGGAGGATGGTCGAAGTACGACTTGTTGAAGCGAGCAGCGTGGTAAACGGAGGAGTACAATTCCGTGGAGTTACCATTTTGACTAGAGTCTTGTTCGATTGATTCGTTAGTGTAAGAACACATGAGTACAACTCGGTCAACACGAGTATCTCTTCTCACAGGATTCTTGAAGTACACAAAACGACCATCAAGGGTGATCGTGTTAACTTTGAAAAACCATTTGGCGAAATCATAGTATCCGACGATCTTCTCATCATACTTGAAGAACGGAGTGGTGTATTGAAGAGGGGCTGACACAAACTTGTAATCTCCAATAAGGTTCAAACTCACAACAATGATAGTGTAAGAGGTACTACTCCTCAAAGCCAGCACCTCGTGGTTTTTAGTGGCAACTTCCTGTTCCACCACCCCATTTGGTGAGGTGATATTAATGAGGAACTCTGAGGCAGGTAGATCGTGCTGGTATGTCCACGACAGTTTGAACAGGTTACCAGGTAGTGGTTCTATGATCAAGTCAGTGGGTGCAGGTAGATACGAGTATCCTGGTGTGTGAACCTCCACAGTGTGCAGGAAGGAACGCTCTTTCGTGTTTTTAGCGTCGAGATCCTTCCTGCCGTAAGTACCGATGAGATAGGTAGTGTTAGAGAGTGCTCCCTTAAATATAAACGAGTAACCGATTCCTGCCGGCAGTCCTTCCGTAGGACTCTTAGCAGCGTGCACTAAAGATTGGGAAATTCCATCAGCGCTGTAATCAATCTCGTAGAATCTAACAAAGTAATATCTCCAGGACCAATCTTTAAAGTTGGGGACCAGATCGACTTCAATCTTATTCTCATGGAAATTAACCTCTATCTCGTAGCCCTGAGTCCAGCGGACAATCTGCTCCACCTCCTCTTTCTTCTTAATGGAGCAGTACTCTCCCATCATGTTCTTCTCATTAACCCACCAGGTATCATCATCATCACAATCACAAACGTCGTGATCGAAGTCAGTGGCCTTACACCGACCCTGGAGACAGAAGCCCGTGTTACACTCAAACCTGTCTATAGCCATGCAACGCGTGATGTTATTATTATCCGCATATTTATGTTCTTCATCATCATCTAATGTGTGCCATTTATCTGTTTTCAAGTAGCGATGGAACTTGTGTGCAGTATAGAACCTGCACGGATTTGCGAGACAGTTTCCTTTAACATTTATAGTCCGACACCGTTCCAGATTCAAATGTCCACGTGGCTGTATTCGGCCCCGTCTAAACGGGAAGTAGTCTCCGTTTAGGATGTATTCTTTAACAGGCTTGTAATCTACTAGCACCAACATTGAATGAAAGTTTATCTCAACAGATAGACTCTTTATTTCGTGAGGTTTGTAAGGTATATCCAAGTTTGTTACATCGTTAATAAAGTCGGTTCCAGAGTCTGTCCAGTCCTCTGTCATGTCCTCAGTAACTAGAGGGCCGTATCTTATTTCCCAGTGGAATCTGAGGAAGTATTCCTTTCAACAATTTATGGTAAATTAAGGAATTATCTTGATATTATTATTTTAAAAAAGTGTAATTTATTGTAATTATACTATCAATGAATCAATCCGAGTTGAATATAATAATAAATACATACGTCAATTTTGGAATTACTAAAAGTAATTTAATTAGTTAAAGTAATTAAAGTAATTAAAGTAATTAAAGTAATTAAAGTAATTAAAATAATTGAATTAATTAAAGTAATTAAAGTAATTAAAATAAATAATTAAATAATTAAATTAATTAAATGTTTTATTACTCACAAGACTCTGCCTGACTTGATGTCGTAAGAGAACTCCATAAGAAAGTAATCACCGTCAGAACACCTGTGCTCTTCGGAGTAGATTTTACAACTCTCTAATTTGTCAAAATCGCGAAGAGAGGTTTTCTCAACTACCTTAACTAAAACAGAAAGGTGGTATGGGTAGAAGGACTTCTGGGGCTCCGTATCTACCTCTGTTATCTTTTCATAGCTCGCACCTGACAAATGGATGGAGTTATTTATATTACAAATGAAGTGATTTAAAAAATTCTTGTATCATAGACTGATAAAACTTTCTTTTGAAACATTTGAATGATAGATGATTGATTGATTAGAAGTACCTTATCGGACGTTATTTGACCGGACATTGCATGAACGAACATAATTTTGAACGGACATTAAAATGAACGCTCGGGCCTCTCGCGTCCAATAAATGTCCTTTCAAATAAAGTCTGATAAGGTAGAAGAACTCACGGCCAGAGGAACACTCGGGTATGTCACAATAATCCCACACTGGGTCATTATCCGTTCCATTACCAATGTAGCACCAGGGAAACCCAGCTCTGAGAAGATCAAATCTTAACACTTTCAAAATGAGGGCATTCAAATTTACCACTCCATTTTATAATATAAACGAATTGATGAAAGTGATTCAACACTGGAAAATGAGAAGTCAGCCTATTTTTTGGGTTAGACAAGGCTATATGAGGATTGAGGAACGCATACTTGTTGGGGTTTCTGCAATAGTTCACCAATAGACCTGCATCTGGGTAACTGAAATAAATGGATAGTTGCCAGTGTGTTGAAATTACGAACAATCACAAATCAGACTCACTTGTTAAATGCCAAGAGGCTCATTATAAACTACTATATCTGTTACTGAAGGAAGTTGGGACAAACTCTATAGAGGAACTGCGAACCCTGATGCGGGACAGGGATATATGGAGGGGGTTACCTGGCGTAGATCGGACTTAGTTCCGACATAGTAGTAGTAGTAGTATATTACTGAAAGCTTTTTAACATTCTGTACCTGTCTAGATGTCAAAATATATTCCAAATCTTGGAGACATGCATTAATTTCCTCAGATTTTAAGCGCTTGATAAAAACACAGCTCTTTTAAAGGTGGACTAACTTTTCAGGAGTTGTGTTATGTTTATGCGGAGATTGTAGGTCCCATCTTTGGCAGCTAAATCCTCCTCTAGTCTCGGATTTTGTCCCTCTGTATTTAGCTCCTATACGATCTTTCTCCTCGTGGCACTCTGAGAAATTTAAGCGATGTAGACGGTATATATATGGACACGTTAATTTGAGTTTGAGGATATTGGTAAACAAAAATGATAGCGTTTTCGACGATAGTGGCTTAATTTTGACATCTATTAACCTAGCACGTTCAGAAGTTCTGAACATTAGCCACGTAACCCATACTCCCATATGCACTGCTCAGAAAGAAAATCTATTGTTGTTAGGCACTATAATGGTTCAAATGTCACATTTTGTGTGACTTAGTTAACTGCAGTTGTCTAATTATCATTCCTTGGTCTAAAATATAGTAGATTAGGTCAATCTAACAATTATGATACAACATTGGTTAAAGGGCACGGATCGAACGGTTACAAGGCAATATTTGGGTAACTTTGTCACACTCAGAATACCAAACCTCTATTCTACTGTGAGGTGTCCTCAAAAACCTTTTAACTCATTATTTGATGGTTGATCTACCAATCATAGCCCTAAAATATGTTGTTTCGAATAGTTAGCTAATACAGGAACTTGGTTATTGGGAAATGAGGTTAATTCTGTCACAATATATGGAATTTTAAATTTTGGGCGAATTATTTATCTGTTTTTGGTTTGAAAGGCGGGAAAACTTTACATGATGACAATGTAGTTGATGCAAGTTAAGATCAGTTGATGTTTACATTGTCACAAAAAATGATACGAAATCGTAAATAGGTTAAAAACAATGATTATAGCATGAAATAGTCTCTTATAATAACTCTTATAATAACTGATGTGACAAAGTAAACATGTCTTGCCCCTATTTTAAAGATCTATATATTCTATGACTCTATTAGAATTCAACATTATTTCAGAAAAAAATCGGTAGAATATTGTCCAGAACATCAGAGCTCAAGTTTAACAATTTTAGGTTAAATTTGTCAAAGTCACCAAAAATGTGACAAAATTAACTTTTCCTGCCCCAAAAATTTCAAGATAGTGTGTAAAAATTAGCATAGGCTGCCTTATTACCTATATAAATCAATCCAAACTACGAAAAAGATCTGTTAATCTGATCATGACGATTACCTAACTCTAATAATAACTGATGTGACAAAGTAAACATGTCTTGCCCCAATTTTGAAGATCTATAACTCAATTAGAATTCAGCATTCTTTCAGAAACGATTGGTAGAATATTGTCTAGAACATCAGAGCTCAAGTTTAACAATTTTAGATTAATTTGTCAAAGACACTGAAAATGTAACAAAATTAACTTTCCCTGCCCCAACAATATCAAGATAGTGTGTTAAAATTGACAATTGACATAGGATGCTTAATTGCCTATATTAATCAATCCAAACTACGAAAAATATCTGTTAATCTGATGACGATTACCTAACTCTAATAATAACTGATGTGACAAAGTAAACATGTCTTGCCTCTATTTTGAAGATCTATAACTCTATTAGAATTCAACATTCTTTCAGAAACGATTGGTAGAATATTGTCTAGAACATCAGAGCTCAAGTTTAACAATTTTAGATTAATTTGTCAAAGACACTGAAAATGTAACAAAATTGACTTTCCCTGCCCCAACAATATCAAGATAGTGTGTTAAAATTAACAATTGACATAGGATGCTTAATTGCCTATATTAATCAATCCAAACTACGAAAAATATCTGTTAATCTGATGACGATTACCTAACTCTAATAATAACTGATGTGACAAAGTAAACATGTCTTGCCTCTATTTTGAAGATCTGTAACTCTATTAGAATTCAACATTCTTTCAGAAACGATTGGTAGAATATTGTCCAGAACATCAGAGCTCAAGTTTAACAATTTTAGATTAATTTGTCAAAGACGCTGAAAATGTGACAAAATTTACTTTCCCTGCCCCAACAATATCAAGATAGTGTGTTAAAATTGGCATAGGATGCTCTGTTGCCTATATTAATCGATCCAAACTACGAAAAAGATCTGTTAATCTGATGACGATTACTTAACTCTTATAATAACTGATGTGACAAAGTAAACATGTCTTGCCCCTATTTTGAAGAGCTATACCTCTATTAGAATACTATGTAACTTTATCATCAATGAACTAGTTATTTTGCCAGCAAGGAGCTAACAGAGTTATAATAATTTGTGACGAAATTACCCTATTTTTGACCATGTTGCGGTAGTTTAATTGTGACACTGCTAACATATTACCACCCGATAATGATTTATGTGACTGGTGCGTGGTACTAGCAGTGTTGTTTGATCCATAGTACGTAATATAAGGGGTTTAAGCTGGTATATCATTATTTGTTCAATTTCACACATGTTCAGATATCATCAAGATTATGTGACAAAGTAAACTTGTTTGTGCCTTCTGTGTTTTAATTCCTTACGACTATATGATATAATAACAATTCCTAGCACTTCCAGGCCATCAAATAAACCTACACTACTCAGCATTGCTTATCAGGGTGCCCTAAACATTCTTCACATGTTTTCTTAAATTTGTGACAGAGTAAACCTGAGTGCACCATCTAACGAAAAAACTCGTCAAATATGTAGGTAATGGTCATATGTACCCATCCAATCAACTGGACACTCAAAAATTTGGTCAAAAACGGCAGCAAGGGGTCCATATTTACTCCGTCACATGTTTATAGTGTGACAATGTAACCATTTCCGTGCCAGCCGTATTTAAGCGATATCTTATCAGCTGATTAAGATATCGTTAAGTGACAAAGTTAGCCTAGAGGATGAGACGATTATCCTAACCATCAAGGGTTTGTGTAATTTCATAGTGTGACAAAGTCAACTACACTGTGCCTTTTAATAGGGTCACTTATATTTACCAATATCCTCAAACTCAAATGAACGTGTCCATATATACACCGTATATTTGAGTATATATATACACAAATACGGACCGAAATACGAACCAGAGTGTGTACGGAACCAGAGTGTGTACGGAAAATTGCATGTCTAAAACATACTAATATTTTTACATAATATCCACAGTTGAAAATAATATTTTAACGTTTCCCTACCACGATTATTATATCAATTTCATTAAACCAGATCATTACGGTTAATTGCAACTAATTACACCAGTGACCTGCTAAATATTCTATTAATAACCTGGATCTCGGTAACAATCCCAAGAAACCCTCAAATATTTCTCCGTCCCAGGACAGGGATCCCTGAAATAGAGCATATTCCAGGGGTTCAATTTAGAGGCCCAAGTTGTACATTCCCTGCGTGATTTATGGTATCTGGCACACGTGTTCCTCACTATCTGGGAAAGATGTTGTGTTAGTGCACACTTTTAGTCAGATACAGATTTGTTTGTAATAGTCTTTAGTATTGCAATTCAAACGAATCGATACAAGTCACCAGAAAAGAAGTCTCAGAAAAAGAGAGCATTTGTTTACATCTCATCAACATTTAAATCAATGAGTTTGTAAATAATTCAGACTTTTACAATATAAATACAGCCATTGTAAAAATCTCACCTTCAAGGAATCAGGATTATGACACTTTGACTTTCCATTGTAAGATGCACCACAACTGTTGTGGTTACTCCAAACACCATAAGAGGCGTCCTTTATCTCCATAATATACGGAGGTTTACATTTCATATTTAGTGTCCCCCCTTCACAAGTTTCCACGGTTGTGGTGGTAGAATCTGAAAATTAATTTGTACATTATTTTCACGAATACAATTATTACAAATACTTTCCTTCCAAAAGGTAGTGATTTTGCTCAATGAAAGTCCACTGTTGAATTAGTCTTGTAATTTAATTCAACTTATCGTTTGACCGCATCTGGAAAATAAGTCTAACGCGGTAATGGTATAAACGTGGGATTTGAGGGAGCCTGGCTTTTAATGCGATCAAATTAAACGATCGAGTGATTCAGGTGGCCAGCTCACCGGATTTGGAGCAGTTTCTAATATCACACCATTCTTTCCCCTTAGACTTGGCAAAATAGCACCATGGAACGGAGACATCTTTCCTGGAAAAGTCATTCGTTGCCGTTGGTTATCATGGTTAGGACTTGGGACTAGCATATCACCGATACAACCACTTTAACACTTGATTATGAGAAGTGATGTTTCGAATTTAGCAACTGAAAGACTGGCAGTTCAACGATAATCGATATGCTTGGGATCTTGATTCTTGAAATCAGCTTACCCCAGAGGATTTCGGCAATAGTTACTGTCTAGTCCTGACGTTGGAAACCTGAATACAATATCTTTTACTAGTAATAGTATGTGTCGTATTTAAATCAATAATTCAACAAACTGTGCTATTTAATTAATCAATGTGACAAATACAATGATGAACATCTTGTCATGTTCAAGAGTGAGCAAGTATGTGACTAGTCTACTGCAACTGTGAGGAAGGTAGCTTATAACCCTACTAAACAACACTCATTCTCTCATTGATAGTATCACACTGTTAACCTCCCAGTCACAAGCGTGTATACTGTATAGCACAAAATGTTGCACATTGAATTTAAATTAACACAAGCGGAAGTACTGAGTAGGAAGCTTCAAACTAGTCATCAAATTCCCTCACTTTTCAGGGGTAAAGTCGTGTTTATTGGGGTACTGAGAGTCCCATCTCTGACACATCTCTCCCGATTTGGTCTTGTTTGTTTTTCCTCTGTAGCTCCTTCCCATAGGATCATCTTCCTGGAGGCAAGACTGCTCTGAAATATTAAACCTTTTAATTTCGTTATAATTCATTATAAGTATTTTTCAAAACACCCTGCGCATTGCGCCATTAGTGTGTCAAAACTCAGAGAGGAAAATTCGTTATTCTTGAACTGGAATGGCCTAAGTATGCTATACCATTACAAGTACCACAGCCGCGAAAATGTGTACGCTAAATCTTCGAAAATAACAATAGAAGTACGCTTAAACTTTAAATTGAGCGGTCAATTTTTCGTGACTGTGGTATTATGTTCTACTATAAACATGTAACTAATATAACTCGTACTTGTATCTTTGTAACAAGACCACGTCGCAACCAAGTACTTTTTCCCCTTACAAGGTTCACCAAATATCTTGTTAGTCGCTGGAACAGTACAGATACGATACCCGTTACATCTCTTCGCCACTATCTGTAAGATTACAGTGTTTTTTCAGTGAACATTTTTTCACCGAGTACAAATAGCTACAGTATGGAATGAATTAAAAATACATCTCGAATCATCTAAAAAGGTGTAGTTCAGTAATCAGTATGTCGTATGAGCTTTTTAGATGGAATACCAAAACACAAAGAGTAAAAGTGTGGAGTTCAGGAGTAAAGAGGTTTTACTGCTCAGTCCCTTTCATAAACAAGTAAACTCTTCAGGCAGCAGTTCAGAAGTATCGTGAAACATAAGAGCTCTATTCTCTAATCAGCTCTTCTGAAAGACGGCAGTTGCCTCCAATCTATGAGGAAATATAGAATAGATTCCACTTTTTCTTCTCAGAGACTTGAACATGCTAATTTTTCAGATTGACACCGGGCTACGGCGGACGGCCGGAGAACAGTATAGTAGTGCCAACTACCTATGTACCTAGCCTATAGGGGGGGTCCAAGGGGAACTTTGGGGAACTTTGGGAAAGTCCCCCAAGATTTCTGAAGTTCCCCAAAAAAAAGTTCCCCAAAACTCCCCAAAGTTCCCCAAAATTCCCCAAAATTATTCAAAATTATTCAAAATTATTCAAAATTTCTCTAATATACATTAATACCCATTAATGTTAACATTTATGTTATTATCTATATTATATTTTAAACTTGACGAAATTTCCCCGGCAACGGGGACATAGAAGAAGAAACACCGAAAATCGACCTCAAAATGACCCTCTGGTGAAATCAAACCCAGCTCGCAAATGGAGTTGAAACCTCGCCATTTTTAGCAGGGTTGTAGAAAAAGGATAGGAATAGGCTATAGCATTCTTAGAATTTTGATTTAGGCTTTAGATTTTTTATAATTAACGTCGGAAGTGAGGTAAAATAACCGTTAGAATAATGTCGTTATTTTAGCAAAGGTTTACTGCGCTGTTGCGTAGCAACGTTAAAATGCACGTGCGCGAGCAAAAACATCTTAACTACGCGCGTTGTTATGCTGTATGCTACGTCATAATTTCAAAACTAGCTCACATTTACGCTCACGCTATGACTTATATTCACAACTTTGGTTGTGATTGGTATTTTTTGATGCGGTAAAAAGTATCGTTTTGGGAATCCGAATACTAACAACGCTGTCGCCATTGTTAAATAAATTCCATTATGTCTACTGTATAACAGAGCTGTATGATGAAGAGAAATTAAAACATAACTGATTTTTAAAATTTCCTCGAACAAAGCTTTCGACTAGCGGGTTTCTAGTAAGGTATAATCTTAACTTACTTGTTGATACTTGCAGCATGATAATTTTTTTGGCATGATAATTTTTTTGGGGAACTTTGGGGAATTTTGGGGAACTTTCTGAAGTTCCCCAAAAAAAGTTCCCCAAAATTCCCCAAAATTATTTGTTTCATTGATAATTTTTTGGGGAACTTTGGGAAAGTCCCCCAGGTTTCCTGAAGTTCCCCAAAAAAAAGTTCCCCAAAGTTCCCCTTGGACCCCCCCTCCTATAACAGTAGCCTGTAACACTATAGATGTTGGACAGAAACTTAATAATGTTAAGCTTTACTTTCTTGCTGAAGCCCCATGGTTACCATTACCATGGATACCATGTTAATGATACAGTGGGGTCACGAGAAGGTACTGCAAGTGGAACTCTATACTCCTACCACCTGTTGCCTGCAAAGGTCCCCAGGTAAATGATTATATTTCCGACGTTTATAATGATAAAGCGTGTGGTGTCACGTGATAGCACAGCTCTGGTCACATGTTACCGTTATAAAAAGTGGAACTCGAAGCTTTGGCCACATGGTGCCCACATAGACTGCTCGCTCTTTCTGATGCCACTTTTTGCCACTTTTACCACTTTTTTTTCTTTCGAAAGTGCGAGGAGGACAAGATCATCTGCCCACAAGAGGTGGGTCAGGACAGTTTTATTCAGCAATGGACGTGAGAGGTCTAGAATACTGTTCAGACGTTCCGAAAGATGTAAGTCTTGAATAGTTCGGGGCTCATTGGGTGGCCCTGCTCCGTGCCTGCTAGAATATCGAATGAGTCTGATATTTTAGCGATCAGCTTGAACTTTGCTTTGGAATTCTTGTACATATTTTCTACACATTTAAAGAATTTTCCATTTATGCCAAGGGTTGAGAGCTTGTACAGAAGAGCTTCACGACTGATGGAGTCGAAAACTTTGCGAAAGTCCACGAAACAATAATAAAGTCCTTTGTTATTCACGTATTTGTCTACACAAGTGGAAAAGGTGAACAGGTGATCCACAATTCTAGCGTTGTTACAGAAGCCAAGCTGGTTTACTGTGTCTGGACAATGTTCCTTTCTGAATTTTAGCAATCGATCTAATAATATTGTCTAAAACAGTTAAATACTAAGGTTGCTCCCGATCGCAATGGCCCTGTAATTATCAGGGTCGTAAATACATCCTTTCTTATGCCTATGGAGTGGGCTCACGATCGTGGTGTTCCATGGATAGACGCCAAGCTCCAAGCAACCATTAAAGAGCTTAACTAACACTGAGAGAGTCCAACCGCCTCACCGTTCTTAAGTGATTTCACTGCCTGTACAACCTATTTTGATATATATATATCTTCGTAAAGTATGCTCAGTATTTGTTCATTTGCCCGAGTCACTGATCTAATCTGTGGGAAGTTTGTATCCTTCTCTTTGTAGAGATCCAGAAAGAATTGGTAGAACTTCGCCATGTCGAATATGTCGAGCTTTGAGGGTTTTTCGTTAAACTTCTTCAGCTTCTTTAAGTTCTCACACGAAATCTTATTTTCCTGTAGAATATCCTGGTTCAATTCTTGGAAGAAACCAGCCTTTTTTCTTTTCATTAATTTTTTATAATCCTTCTTCCTCGAGCAAAAGCGGATTCGTTGAAGGTCGTCCAAGGGGGGTTTTTCCGTACTTCCTAGTTAAAATATTGAGCTCTCGCTTAGTTGTAATGCACTCAGCATCGAACCAATTTTGTTTTGGGCGGAGTTTACTGCGTCGTTTCTTTTTAGAGAAACACCTCATCTTTTTCTCACTATTGACACAGTTTGAGGGCTGATCGGTACCAAGGGCGCTTTAATTTCGAAAATCTGAACGAACTTCTTGTTTGTGGAGTAAATGTTTTCTGCAGTATCAAGGCCAATGCAAGGGTTGAGGTCGAAATATCCAATAGCTGTTTTGTTATTTCGGCCTTGTTAAGATTATCGGTAAACTGTTGGGCCGTCGCGTAGAGTCTACATCCCATTCCGGTCTTTTAGGTACATCTTGATGAAGCTCTTGAATAAGTTCAGCGGCTATCATCGGGATTCTAACCGAGAGTTAACAGAGGATAGGTCTGTGATCTGATAGATTGGTTAAAGAGATAACTTTGAACCGCTTCACCATATCCCTGATGCTCGGTGAAACTGCTATGTAGACAGCGACACTTTGTCCGTTGTATTGATAGCATGTACATAAACATATTCATCTTCACGCTCTAGAATAATACCAATTTGATCATTTAAAAATTCTAATTCCCTCAATTTCACTCTGCTAGTGATCAAATTTAAGAATTGGTCGGATATCCGGCCAGCTACGCGTGTCTGTACAAGTCTTCGTGATACGTTCTTCTCTGTGCACTGCACGTACGTCAAGAATGCTTGTTAGAGTAACGTGATTTTATCTCGGGTCCGTCTTGTTCTTAACCGCTAAAGCTGAATTCCTTTGACGCTGCCAGAAGCTATCGGCAGCGGCGTGGCGGCTCGGATCACTGCGAGAAACTAGTTGTTCCCCATTTCTAATCGTGAACATATTTTAGGGAATGAAATCAACTACCTCGTGGTGTCTGCTACTCTCATCGGCAGCATGTTTGCTAGTCGGTGCTACATCCGAAACCCTTGCCTGCTGGAACCAATATTGCAATTCCGAAGGGGGCAAAAAAAACCCTGCCAACGGCCTAGTATATCATTCTGTAGTAAGAACAACGAAGAATACTATGACCAGGAAACCTACTGTTATTCATTTAGGGGAACAAAAAACATGGAGGACAAACAGAGAATGAAAGAACTAACAGATCCTGATGTCTACTGCCCTAGTTCAGTGTTCCAAGACTGCAAGTGCGGATATACCAAGTTAGACCTTGTTAATTCTGAAGCATTTTGCGATTGCCAGCTTAGCGTTTTTGGCTCCACAGTTTTTACAACCGTTCATACCGTTACAACGGCCGTTGTAGATTTGATTCGTAACGCTGTAGTTTTGATTGTGATTTGTGTTGTGCTTGTAAAGATTACAGTGTGTTTCCTAAAATGCTTTGGAGATCTCTTAAAAACGTTCTTTAGTTCAAAGCTCTCGTTCGATCCTGAAAAGCGTGCCTCAAGTGAAAAACAACCAGTGGCTTTAGTCAACAATGCGGCAGATAAGAATGAAAATGCCATAGGAGACGAGGCTGTTTGATCTAAAAAAATAAAGAAAAGAAACTCCATCGATACCCATTCGACCAACAATTGGGGAATAAGTGTGGCAGGGTGTTGCCCCTCCCCCCTAATATCTAGACCTTCATAGTGATTATTATGATAATGCATGTAGTTATCCGTAAACATAGATTGTGAGTTTAAGAAACACGTTTTCACAATTCTATAATCTATTATTCTATATTTCGCATGCAAGAGAACTATTCGATTGCCTCGGGGTTAACTGGAATCTATCTGTCGGAACAGTAACACCTGCACCGCTTATTAGTTTTGCAGCATGCTAAAACGCAATGTGAAGCAATCATAAGTCACAGTAGAAGGTTTGACCACGCCGACCATTTTGGGAACATTGTCATAGATTCTCGTATTAATGTGAATATGAATTAATTATGAAACTCTGATATCCTGTGGTTAACGTTTTTCGTCAAAACTACTTTTTTTCCTGAAAACTACTTTTCTCCGTGTTTTAATCTACAATATTCCAATAAAAATTGTTTGCTAATTAGCTAATTGATAATTATCCAATTAACTGATTATCTGACGTAAAACTTGTCTGTACAAAAGATTTTCTTCCTGATATAGATAATATGAACACCCTTGATTAATCTGCAACCTTTTACGATGTTCACAACTAAACTCTAAAGATATTCGACAAACAAGAAAGGTGGTAAAAAGTGGTAAAGTGGCAAAAAGTAGCCTTAAGACACGTAGAAAAGTTTGGAAAAGTTAGTCAGCCATAAAGGGCACCTAATGGGACTAAAAAACGTCAAAAATCCTTTATAAGCTTTGTGTGTCGGCAGATCGATTTTTTAGACGGATCTGTCTGTACTTTAAACTAAATCATTCATTCTTCATATCAGTGCAATGTGGTCCAAAAATACTCAAAATCAATTTTTGAGAATGAGTTTTTCGGGGGGGGGGGGGGGGTATGCAACGACCATTAATGACCATTAATGACCATTAATGACCATTAATGACCATTAATGACCATTAATGACAATGTCAGTTTTGTCAAAATTCACTGCATCACTTAGACCCTACCTTAAGTTAACTAACTACAAGTATATGTTATTATTTTACATTTACAATTAGAGATTCGAAAGAGAAAACTTAGAATAGAATCTTCCGTGGTTAGGCAGACCTTCCAGAATATCACTTGAGTGGATTCCAGAGTGAGTTAGGGATTACATTTATTAAGTTCGAATGTAATGAAGAACAAATTTTGCGGCCACGGGATTTAAACCAGATAACAGTTGGTGACTTATAGTTATCAATAATAATAATTCAAAGGGCAATTTAGGAGTATCAGATCGTATCAATAGTAAAATAACAATCAATAATAAAATAATAATAACACGGGTATTAAAATTAAATACTTCGTTCCCGTTCTTATATCATATCAAGATTTATATTTTAGCCAAATCATTATGCTAGTCGATTATATAGTAATTACACAGTAGATGAACTTATTCAACTTTAGCACTTCATGAAATACATCGTCATCAGTCTGAATCGGACAACAAAAAAGCTGATCTTTTCCTAGGATTAGATAGAACAATTCGTTTACAGTTCAATACTCTGCCTTTGGCAGTTTAAAGTTTTGACCCAAAATCGAGCACTGTCATCATGATAGGGACAAATTGATGCGGCAGGAATTCGTCTAGATCTGCAGTTGCCCTTTTTTGAAGCAGAGACACTCATTGATAAGACTAGCAGGAACCCGTCTAACCCTAAAGTGGTGTCAAGAATCAAGAGACTAAAATAATTATTACCTATTTAATTCGCGTTTTTGACACCACTTGGGGGTCCAAATTTTGGGCTCTAAAACTCCTATTTCTTGGCCAATTTTTTATTTTTTCATGCTGATTTGAAGGCCATTAAAGCATTTGACCCAGTCAAAAAAGTTTCAGTTGTATATCTTTTACGGTTTTTGCGGAAAGTCGTGTTAAAGTTGATGCCGTGGTGTCAGTAAAATGGCACAGATAAATATAAATATATCGTCTCGCTTTATATATAGTAAGATGGTACCGAGGCAACGAAGGGGACGTTTAGCATTTTTTGGAACAAAGGTAGCACTTAATGAGTCGCCCTTTCGAATTGTTCGACGTTGACAGGGCTTAGAAGAATTTTTGCAGCCCGGTTGGTATGGCACAGAACCCTCGAAACAGCCGGTATCAAAAAATTTCGATCTCCGACTTTTATTTCCAAATATCGTCTTACGATGGCATAGAAGGTACTGTGAGGAGGTATTGAAAATCCAAATTATCAAAAGCAATCAACACAAATAAAGGAAATCAATACAATTCAAATCCACGCAAAGTGCAAACAAGCATGTATACTAAGTCAACTGCAAACAAGCATTTATACTAAGTCAACTGTAAACAAGCATTTATACTAAGTCAACTGCAAACAAGCATTTATACTAAGTCAAATGCAAACAAGCAAACAGACAAGACAAGTTACCAACGTATAACAGAATGGTGCTTGGCACTCATTCCGAAACCGAGGTCCGAGCCTCTATTAGGCGAATATTAATTCGTTTTCTCAAACGAGACTCTGGCAATCGATGTAGGGGGCTGTGAGAAACTTTATAGAAGTGATACAAAGTGATCATAATTGTAAATTTCTTGGACATTAATGACTATTAATGACCATTAATGACCATTAATGACCATTAATGACCATTAATGACCATTAATGACCATTAATGACCATTAATGACCATTAATGACAATGTCAGTTTTGACAAAATTCCATCTACTGACATTAATGGTCGTTGCATCCCCCCCGTTTTTCGCCTCTCCTGGAAACTTGTCTCAAAAATACTCAAAAATAATTTTTGAGAATGAGAATTTGGCCATTTTCGTCGGGACTCTCAAAAATACTAATGGTGGAAGGTGCAGGGTCACACCTGTACCATGAGGAATGAGGCAGTGGATAATATTGCGTGCGCCGCGGTCAAAGAAAGTTACAAAGAAGCGGATTTGAAAAATTGGGAATGCGAGGCAGCCTATTGCAGCACGGACCTGTGCATACGGGACTAGCAGCTAAGCTGCTCGGAGGAACTGTCGCCATCATCGCAGGACTTCTTTAGATTAAGTGATACCCAGATAAACTATTCGGTTAAATCAGCATTTTTTATTTCTATTCTTATTGTATTCGTATAAGATATGTACCTAAAGTTGGAACTCATAGCCCAACTTGGAGATACATTTTTTAGATGTGTCTGTGCAGTGTGCAGTTTGTTGTGTGTACTAGTAGTCAAGTTTTTATGCACTGCTTATTCCCCACTACGCAGGGCAATTAAATTAGTTACATTTACCACTGTAAGAGGTGTAAGAGGGTATAAATATGATATTAGGTATCTTATTATTAATAATAGATTAGTGAGATCACTATAATTTGATCGCTTCAAAAAATATAATATAAAATTCGTTGTTTTACTTTTTAACATTAAGATTCCGAACGAACTATCAAATCAGCCACAAATCTAAGACCAGTGCAATGGTCTCTAACAGACTCAACCCCGGCGTGATCTCAATGGTTGAAGGTGTGGTAGAGACTTAAGAACTGTGCTTAACAAGTTTTCTGTCTGCTATCTTATACTTTTGTGTAACAGTGCTGGCGCGAGTTTTATGCAAATTTCTTAAAAATATAGCTATTTCTTATTCAGAATTAGAATATTTTGAACTAAAAATAAACCTGCTGAATGACTTCTGATGAGTCTAAATGAAGGAAAAATAGTAAAGGGGTATTATAATAGTATATAGTAAAGGGGGTATAATGACAGACGCCCGACGGTTGTGCTCTCCAGCACTGTGATTTTCAAATGCTTCAAAATGTATCTTAGAAAAATAATAATGTTACCCCAGAAGAGCTCATGCTCCAAATTTGTCTCCTCTCTTCTAACGTCATGCTTTCCAGATAATATGCATGTAGGATTTAGCAATGATAATACTAAATACACCAACGACGCGATAGGAGTTTATTTCTTATTTTCAAGAGATGTTTAATTCGAACGAATAAGAAATTCTTGTAAACAATGATGACAACATCTTGATCGGATAATAATATCTGTTCATCATATCCAAATATCATGAAAATCAGATATAATATTTGTTTCATTACCTGAACGGAGTCCTTGGCGAGACAACTCCCTTTTTTGCGGGAGCATCCACAAGAGTTTCCATTTGAGTACACACCATATGCAGCGTGCAGAATGTTTATATCCTGTCCCCATCCACATTCTATAGTCAAAAGTTTATCCTCGCATGCTTCATTCGTTATCGCTGAATTGAGGAAACTTCCGGGTTATCTAATTTTCCAATAAATAGCGAGAAAAACATTCATGGAATCTAGGAGTTGAAAAGGATAAGAAATGAAGCTGGCATGGTATCTTGTAGATTAATAAATGGCAAACTTACTTTTATCATAGCATATTTTAATATCACAGAACTCCCATCTTGGTTCTTTACCTTCTCCATTGTAACACCAGGGACTTGTGCCCGTAGGAGCCCTAAATAGATACATCTCGATCAAAGAAATGTACACGATCGCCGAAATGCTTACATTTACACTGTGAGCTAAAAGGTTAATATTTACATCTGTACGTTCCATCAGTCTTTGTATCTCAAAACGATCAGTTGGATGATTGTAAACTATCGTCAGAAATCAGAAATACTCAATTGTCACAACTAGCATTATAATTTATACTGGAACACTTACGGGTTACGGCAATAATTCTTTTCGAGTCCACCTTGAGGATACCTGTTCCGGGAACAGAGTTGTTACTATCGACAGTCAGATACAAAACATGAAAGATACCATTATTCATCTATCTCTTTCCTCATATCACTTCATACCACCCCGCCTTCGCAAAATATAAACTTCTTTGCTTGCATTCGTAAGGGTACGAACAGACTGTGGCAACTCAGTCCATGACATCTCTCACAAGTAGAGTCAGGTAGCGTGTTCAGCGCGAGCGAACTTGAGAGATGTGGGACATATCTCACGTCCGGTGACCACACTACGTAACTCTACTTGTGAGGGATGTCATTCAAACTGAGTTGTCACAATTTGAACGGTAATTTAAATTGACATAATTTCCATTTGTTTGGAAAATAAAAAGGAGACACTGGCGACGGTTCAGTGTTCACTCTACCAAATTTTGGGTTTGGTTAAAAATATGTGCTTACTTTTCAGATGTTGTGGTGTGCTCATTAGGACGCTGAACACTCCAGTTCTGACATTGCTTTCCCGACTTGGTGACTGCAGTTGTTCCTCTGTACTTCTTCCCGGTAGGATCGCTTTCCTCGATACAGTCTTTAACTGAAAATCCCGATCCTGGGTTAGATATTTCTGACAGCGGTTAACTGCAGTCAATATGAACGATAATAATTGTAATTCGCTTGGCCGGTGCAGTTTTAAAATCTAACCTGTTAGAAATGCCAAAAATGTGCTTACTTTGATGTCACAACGGATACCTGCTATTTCTTTTTCGCAAATCCACGTTGCAGTCAAGTAATTTTTATGTCCTTTACAAGGATCACCGAATACATCATTTTTTGCCTCCACGGTACAGTGCTGTTTTCCTTTGCATGCGGATGTCATCACCTGTAATTCTGACTATAGAACTGAGAATCAGCAAACACGCCTAACATTTCCTACTTTTCATCTTTAAAGCAAGAGTTAAAATTTGTTAGCAGCTAAGAGGAATACCAGTACAAGACTTTTTCATAACGTACGAAATGCGACGGTTTTCCCGAAATTTCGCCATATTTTCGGACCGCCAAAATTTCGGTCGTCGTAATAGAATCCGTCGCATTATTTTTAGCTCATTCCAATAATTGTGGCTTCATCGATTCATTTTGTTCTTGAAAAGTTAGTGATATGACGGTGGGACAAATAAACACAATATTCCATGATGAATTTAATGTCAAGTAATACGCTTATCCGAGAATCTTACTCCTGGGAGTACACTGGAGAACAGCGTGAAACTGAAAGAGTCGAGCCGGACCCCTTAAGTATAGAGGAAGATGAAGAAATCGATTTATAAGTTTCATTTTGTTTCAACATGATTTTACCGATTTTTAGAAAATTTTGAATTTCCTTTGTGTCAGAAAACAAAATGATGAAAAATACCCTTATTTTCTGTGACATCCGAAATGTGACGGTTTTTGTTCAATTTCGCCATATTTTCGGACCGCCAAAATTTCGGTCGTCGCAAATTGGTCCGCCACAAAAAAGTCTTGTGAGGTAGTTATTTTGGTGCATGTTTTGAGAGTTCTCAAGTTCATATTCTAAACTAATATACTGGCCCACGAAATCTAATCGAAACAGAAATAACGAACATCACCTTCAACGACTGCAATTCATCGACACAATTCTTCCTGTAGGATATTCCACAAGGGTTTTCTGATGAGTAAATACCATAAGCAGCGTGTTTCATTTCGATTCGTTCCCCCCAGTCACAATCGATTTGCAGTGCATCTTTTTCGCATACTCTCTTTGTAATCGCTAAAATAAAATAAAATGGTTAAATGCAAATGGCGAAGTTTAAAATGCTTCATTTGTTATCGTAATTAAAGAACTCTTCCTGGTTATTTCATTTTCTAAGGAAGAGCGCCGTAGAGACAAAACATACATGGAATCTGGGAGATGAAAAGGGAAAAAATGAAGCTACCATAGTATATAATAGTATGTAATGGACAAACTTACTTTTACTTTTATCATAGCATATTTTTATATCACAGTATTCCCACGTCGGTTCCGTACCTTCTCCATTCCAACACCACGGACGCAAACCCGAAGAAGTCCTTAATAGATACATCTCGATCAAAGTAATGTACACGATCAACAAAATGCATACATTTGATTTTACGCTACACTGCAAGCTTGAAGGTTAATATTTACTTATTTTGTACGTTACATCAGTCTTTTACAACAATATGCTGATTGTAAACTATCGTCAGAAATCAGAAATATTATATTCAAACCGAATACTCAATTGTCACAACTAGCATTATAGTTGAACACTTACGGGTTACGGCAATAATTCTTTTCGAGTCCACCTTGAGGATACCTGTACGTAAACAGAGTTGTTACTATCGACAGTCAGCTACAAAACATGAAAGATATCATTATTCATCTATCTCTCTCCCCACCCCGCCTTCGCAAAATATAAACTTCGTCGCTTGCATTCATGTTAGGGTTTCAGTAGTTAAGGTTAATGCTAGAGTTAGGGTTGAGAATTAGGATTCCAGGTAGTACCATAATTTGGGTTAGAGTTTGGGTTAAGGTGAGCTTCTGCCCGGACGGGTTTTTCTTTGGGTAGACTTTGCTACAGATGGGATTATGTCCTTCAACTTCACACTTTTTAAAACCGGGATAGTTCAGTTTTGTCAATAAAAAAAAAGAAACTCCTCTATCTAATGATGTACGGACATACTTACTCTTTAAATGTTGTTTGTTTATTAGGACGTTGGACACTCCAGGTCTGACATTTCCTTCCTGACTCGGTGACTGCAGTTGTTCCTCTGTATCTCTTCCCGGTGGGATCGCTTCCCTCAATACATTCTTTAACTGAAAATCCCAATCCTGGGTTAGATGTTCCATAATGATACAGTCGTTCATCGATGTAAATCTGAGCGAGAATGGTTGCAGTTCGCGCGACCGATGCGGTTTTAAAATCTATCCCGTTAGAAATTCTATAAATTTGCCTACTTGAACATCACATCAGATACCTGCTGTTTCTTTTTTGCATATCCAAGTTGCAGTCAAGTAGTTTTTATGTCCTTTACAAGGATCACCGAATACATCATTTTTTGCCTCCACGGTGCAATGCAGTTTGCCATTGCATGCAGATGACATCACCTGTAATTCTGACTGTAGAATCAGAAAGCACGCCTAAAATGTCCTCCTTCTAATCTTTAAAGCATTTGTTAAAATTTCTTATTCCATTAAAATTAACCTTAACTTGGACGCACTAATTAGTTTGGTCTAGCTTTTGAGAGTTCTTAAGTTCATATTCGAAACTAGTACTGTCCCACGAAATCAAATCGAAACAGAAATAACGAACATCACCTTCAATGGCTGCAATTCATCGACACAATTCTTCCTGTAGGATATTCCACAAGGGTTTTTTGATGAGTAAATACCATAAGCAGCGTGTTTTATTTCGATTCGTTCCCCCCAGTCACAATCGATTTGCAGTGTATCTTTTTCACATAATTGCTTTGTTATTGCTAAAACAAAATAAAAAAGGTTAGAAATTCCAAAAATGTATATACTTGGACATCACAACAGATACCCGCTATCACTAACCATTAAACTGTAACCCTAACCGGGCGTAACTATAACCGTATCCCTAACCATATTCCACTTCGAGGAATTCCACTATCGTGGTCGGGCTGCTTGGATAGTACCGCAAAGAATTGGGAGCGATAGCCAATAACAGTTCGTAGTAATATCTTGACCATTGACCAACCGTGTGAAAAGCGACAAAGTAGCTTGAGGACTATCAGTGAAGTAAACCAGTTCGTCTTTAGAACCATCCTTTAAAACCATTCCTTGAATACAGTTTCGTTAAAATTATGAGATATCAAATTGTGTTCAACGAATGATTTAAGAGCAAAAAAACGAGATTTATATTTGTACTTTATGTCACGGTCGACGCGTAAAATATTAACTTTACATTGAGAAACATATGCGCGCGTTCCGCACAATAACTTCTTTTGCTGTGACAGGCCCGTAATTTTGGTGAAGGAGCGATTTCGAATTTGCAATTGCACGATGATCAGGCGCTGCTTTCTAGTTCCCTTTTTTCATTTCGCTATGTCCAAGAAGACCGACAACGATACTGAAAAGATTCACGAATCATTCACTGAGGAGCAGCTCTCAGAGATCAGGGAAGCGTTCAATTTATTTCCACAAGATAGGGAATGTATCAGGGCAGATAGTGTTGAAACTCTATTACGGGCTTTGGGACACAATCCGTCACCAGAGGAGATGCAGAAGATTTTCAAACATTTACACATATATTCGCAAAGCAAGGTGTCATTCAATATGCTCTTGTCGGTGATAGCTATGTTGTTTTCTTCCTGCTCCGAGGAGTCCATTAGACAAGCTTTCCGGATGTTTGACAAGGTACTGACGACTTAATATATTTACTCTTCTACCTGTTTAATGGAATGTTTCAATTTTCGCGTTAATGCACAATTTATGATAGTCGAATTTATGAAATCGTTTGAATATGTTAAAAACTGATCAACTCAAGGACGGTAATGGTACGATAGACTCGCGTGAATTACGGCACGTGATGCTGAATCTTGGGGAGGCGTTGACTGACGACGAAGTGGACGACATGATAAGAGAGATTGACGTTGACGGGGACGGTGAAGTCGACTGTGAAGAGTTTGTGATGATGATGAAGAAGTAACTGTTAAGGGAAGTGAGAGAACTGAGAAGTTGCTGAAAGCAAATGGCATTACTCGACTCTAGCTCTGTCAGCACTAAATGACATTCAGAAAACGCTCATTGAACAAGCTTAGAATGAGACATTATGTTCAATTTGTTAGATGAATGAAGTAACAAAGATATTGATAAATTTATTGAAAATAATACCTTGTAATCTTATTATTACTATCGCGATCGTCTACAGAAATTATGACATGGTTAAGAATTATCATTTACCTAATCTTGAAACACAAATGTCAAATAACGATGAATGTTAAATTAACTACTTAACTATATCAACATAATATACGATGTTTACTTTTAGTTTTGAAAAATTCCATTAAAAGACGTTATCCATAATTAAAAACAGTAAGGAAAACTAACTATAACCCTAAATTATACGTCCTATAACATCAAACACAAAAAAATGTCTTAATAAAGTTAATTATAGAACTACCTTATTATTGAAAATACTCCCATCAAAGAATTAATGAGTCAATAATTACTTTACAGTACGAATTTAAGAGGGAGTTATGGTATATTTAGATAATTTTAACGAGTAAAAACCACAAATAATAATAATAATTTAACTCGTTAGAACAGAGTAAAACATAGCGGAAAGTACTCATTAAAATGACTTAGATATTGGCGTAACACTAACGAAATATAATAATCACCAATAAAATAAAAAACGACTAAAAACAATTAACAAAAAACAATGGATATCTTCAGTTGAAAACATCAACATAAGTTGTCCTTTTGGTTGAAGATATCAACATTAGATGACCCTTCAGTTGACAACATCAACATTAGCTGTCCCTTCAGAGACCATGTAATCGTTCATGATAACCTGACCAGTGTGGTTAGGTGAGACTAGCAGATCGAGCGAGGATCGTGCTGGCGGGCTAGTTATAGGAACTGGTAGGCTATTGTAGGCACAACTAGGGTTAGGGACTAGAGACATGGGGAACCCGGGGAAACCCGCCATTTGTTGATCTGGCTGGACGAAAGCGGGCCACAGTTGAAACGGCATGAAGTAATGGTTATAGGGGGCCGGCGGCATCGTTAAGGGGAACTTAGAATAAGGATTGCCTTGATCTGGAGTCCTGGTTTCGCTGCCAGCTCCGTTTAGATTATAATCATAGTTCTCACAATTAACAGTGTCCGTGTTCTGTAGCGGACTACTTGTTTTACCCTGACTGAAATGCTGAAACTCCTGTGAGGTCTCCCCCATCTTGTACTCCTGGTGGGGGGTCCCACCCTCCTGGTGGGGGGTCCCACAATACCTCCTCTCAAACCCACCCTCACTGTCCACTTCAACTATCTCGTCAGGTGACCGTGCCTTGATATCTCCACTAAAACTAGACTCATTTTTATCATCATTGTTTATTTCTTCTACCTTGAACGTATCTTGAACTATCTTCATTGCCTCTGATATGGCATCATCTGGATCCATCTTAAAGTCCCCACTTGGGGTCTGCTGTCCAGATCTAGTTTGTTGGCAGACTAGCTGTTCGTAAAGGTCGGCAGGCAACACTTCTTCTAATACGTAGCCTGGGATAACGGGAAGTGAGATAAACATCAAAATAATGTAATTTGTTGATGGGAAATAGTGTATACTGGCAAATTATACTTCAAATAACTTTTTGAAACGTAATGTGATGAAGTATAAGGGAAAATGGGCACACAATTCAGCACGATGTTGAGGATAAAATTTGAAATCAGTAGAATTGAATTGAGATGAGATTGCACACTTACCCTCGCCCCTATTAACTAATTCATCAGTGAGAATCTCCGCTGGCTCCGATATATCGTCTCCAATAAGACGGGATGTGGTGTCCACTACCCCTTCTATCTCCACTGCCTCTTCTTCTGCCAACGTGTAGTCATTGCTTTCAGCTGCTGTCCTCTCTGTAGAATAGAATTTATTGTTGAACAGTCATATTTGTCAAAAATTCTAGAATTTAGACCAGAGCTCCAAAAAGTAGACCAGGTTTTCCAATGAATTAAACTAAGAAGTCTTCACTTAAAAATGTACAAGTTGTACATGACTCACTGATTGATTCTAGTTGCCTCTTCTTGTCTCTTTTCATGACTACTAATTTCTCTAGTTCAGCTATCTTACTTTCCATCTGATCAATACTTGCCAAGGATAAAATCTCTTCGTTCCTCCATAACTCCTGAAAAAAAACTATTTAGGGGTCTGTTTCCGGAAACAATTAGAGAATTAGTATAGAAGTGCTTAACATAGATAAATCATATTTTAGTACGAAAATAAAAAACCGATTTAACTTTTAAGGAATGATCAAATGTAATTCCCCTCCCCTTACCCCAGGATAAACAGGGCAGGGTAGGGCACATGATATTATATCAATACTGAAAAGCGTGCACACTGCACTTGTGGGGGGGTCCAACCCGATCAATTCCGATCATTCCGATCCCGATTTTGGCCTCATCAACCCTCATATCGGAAAAATCGGGAAAATTTAAATCTTCCCTCTGAGGTTTCTAGGCGATATAGGTAGCTATTTCTGTACTTAAATATGACAAGAAATCGATTGGTGGTGGTCCCAGAACCCCAAAATGGTATCTTGTTCCAAACAAGAATCGTTTCGTCCGAAAAACAACACAATGTCGTACCAACTCTTGTTTGACAGAAACATCCACCCCGGTCCACAATTGAAAGAGGTACGGTTGGTAATAAGAAATCGTAACAAATAGCGAACGCTTTAGTAACTTTTGATTTAAATTGTCTCCACAATTTGTAACAGGCTATCTGCAGAAATGGGTAGCACGGTTAATGACTATGGTCCTTTCTCAAACTTCCAATCCTCAGTTAGATACAAAGAATAGTCTACACAATTTTCAATAACATTAAAAGGGATGAAAATCACTTTATTTATCAAAATCTTTATTTATCATGTAACAACTTTTCCATAGTACTGGAGAGTAAAACTCTGTTAAACAAAAAAATTCTCGGGCACATTTTGAGTCAGTAACAGTAACATGTCAATATGTTACAGACTCAAATGCGTTTAAAAACATTTTAGTAACAATAAATTGTGTAAACTGATGAGGAGGAGGAGGAGGACTGAGGAGAAGGAGGACTGAGGAGGACAGAGGAGGAAGACTGAGGAGGACCAGGACGAGCACTAGGAGGATGAGGACGAGGACTAGGAGGATGAGGACGAGGACTAAGGACGATGAGGACGAGGACTAAGGACGAGGAGGAGGACGACTGAGGAGGAGGACTGATTAGGAGGAGGACTGATTAGGAGGAGAAGGAAGAGAAGAAGGAGGAGGAGGATGAGGAAGAGAAATGAGGAGGAGGAGGAAAAGGAGGAAGACTGAGGAGAAAGAGGAGGACCGAGGAGGACTGAGGAGGAGGAGGACTGAAGAGGAGAGGGAGGACTGAGGAAGAGAAGCAGGATTGGTGTGGAGGAAGACGAGAAGGAGGAGGACGAGAGCGAGGACGAGGAGGAAGACTGAGGAGGAGGACTGTTAAAAAGGAGAAGGACGAGGACTGAGGAGGAGGACTGAGGATGAGGAGAAGGAGGACTGGGGGAGGACTAAGGACGAGGAGGACTGAGGAGGAGGACTGAGGATGAGGAGGAGGACTGAGAATGAGGAGGAGGAGAAGGAGGACTAGGGAGGACTGAGGAAGAGGAGGACTTAGGGAGGACTGAGGAGGAGGAGGACTGAGGAGGATGATGAGGAGGAGGACTGAGGATGAGGAGGAGGAGAAGGAGGACTGGGGGAGGACTGATGAGGAGGAGGACTGGGGGAGGACTGAGGAGCAGGAGGATGACTTAGGAGTAGGAGGAGAAGGAGGAGAAGGAGGAAAAGGATGAGAGGGAGGAGGAGGACTGAGGAGGAGGAGGAGGACTTAGGAGTAGGAGGAGGACTGAGGAGAAGGAGGAGGAGGAGGACTGACGAGTGGGAGGAAGAGGAGGACTGTGGAGGAACAAGATGACGACTGAAGAGGATGAGGAGGATGAGAAGGAGGACTGGGGGAGGACTGAGGAAGAGGAGGACTTGGGGAGGAGGATGAGGACGATGAGACTGATGAGGACTGAGGAGGAAGACTGAGGAGGATGAGGACGAGGACTAAGGACGAGGACTAGGAGGATGAGGACAAGGGCTAATGAAGAGGAGGAGGACGACTGAGGAGGAGGACTGATTAGGAGGAGAAGGAAGAGGAGAAGGAGGAGGAGGACTGAGGAGGAGGAGGAGGATGAGGACTGAGGAGGACTGAGGAGGAATACTGAAGAGGACGAGGACTAAGGACGAGGAGGAGGCGGAGGACGACTGAGGAGGAGGAATGATTAGGAGGAGAAGAAAGAGGAGAAGGAGGAGGAGGAGTAGGAGGAGGAGGAGAAGGAGGAGGATTAGGACTGGGGGAGGACTGAGGAGGAGGATAAGGAGGAGGAGGACTAAGGACGAGGATGAGGACGAGGACGATTATGAGGAGGACAGAGGATGAGGACTGATGAGGAGGATGAGGAGGAGGAGGATGAGGAGGAGGATGAGGAGGAGGACTGGGGGAGGACTCAGGAGGAAGAGGATGATGACTGAGGAGGAGGATGAGGACTCAGGAGGAGGACTCAGGAGGTGGACTCAGGAGGTGGAGGAGGATGAGAAGGACTCAGGAGGAGGAGGACGACTATGAGGAGGACTAAGGAGAACTGATGCCTGATGGGGAGGAGAAGGAGGATCAGGAGGAGAAATGAGGATGAGGAGGAGGAGAAGGAGAAGGAGAAGGAGAAGGAGGAGGACTGGGAGTAGGACTGAGGAGGAGAAGGGGATTGAGGAGGAGGGTGAGGAGGACTGAGGAGAAGGACGAGGACGAGGACGAGGAGTCAGGAAGAGGACTGAAGAGGACTGAGGAGGAGAAGGACTCAGGAGGAGGAAGACTTAGGAGGAGGAGGAGGAGGACATCTAAATGTTTTGTCTGTTTTTGTCCGCCCTACTTTTTGTCCGTTTTGAAAATACAGGGTACCGAACGGACACAAAACATGATCCCCCAGCCAAGCATGTGTTACGATACAAATGTACTTGACTATACATTTAAGGTGCAGTGCAGTGTACTAGTGATATTATGGTATGTTTAAAGACCGGACCACAAAATATAACCCTAGTGTTGTACTAATACATAATAACAAGTAACAGGGATAAAATTAATGAGCAGAAACAATCGATCTCACGTCAAGAGGCCAAAGCACTCGGGTCTGGGAGTACATGACAACTCCAACTAGTAGTGAGCATACTAGCCCCTGCAGTGGAAAAACACATAAAACATACTATTGGAATGTCCAATTAGTTCGTTTTCTCATAACAGTATAGCATATGTAGGGGTTTTTTATCACTTCCTCACTTCTGAGAGGTTTTAGAGATCGATTCTCTAAAATTTCTCAATTTTCCGATTTTTCCGATTTTTCCGATTCCGATTTTGGCCTCATCAACCCTCATATCGGACATCGGGTTGGACCCCCCCCCCCCCCCCCCCCCACTTGTGAAGCTAACTTTAATGGCCAAGTAGATTGTTTATTACGTCATTAGGTTAAAGCGATGATGATGAGTATAGTAATAGTATACTATACATACTACATCTGGTTATTGTTAGTCATAGATCACGTAGGTTCGTTCTCGGCTGTTTTCGAATATAACTTTTGTATGGACAACTGTATTAGAATCTGCAAGCCCTACACCTCCAAAACTAATTGAGAAAACTAATATCTGCCTGCCTACTTTTAAATTTTAATCCTATATTATAATTCAAAAGCTCCTCTTTGCACGTTTGTTTGACCACCCACGTGCAAATTATATGAGAAATAGAAAGTTGCATAGTAACGTGGGAGGAACCGCGCACGTGCAACGATTTTGGGGCGACATTTTGATCGGTTTTGTTGTTATTACGTTGTGTTCAGTGCGACTTACATCTCAATGGGCTGTATCTTCGGTTGTGATGGATACATTTTGATGCGATAAAAAGTGACTATCAAAGAATACTATCATAACCTCCCTGTGACCACGGACTTTTTAGTCATTAAATAAAACCTCCTTTGATCACAAGGTCAAGCTTCAAATCTTACGACAGATTACCTTAAATCTTTACTACAAGGGGGTGAGATATCAAACGGTCCCACGACAACCTGCATCATATCATAATAATAACTCTCATAAGTTTTTTAGTGGATGATAAAATCTACACCTTACCGGGCAGTGGTTATATATTTTTTGGGGTGGTTCTTGCCCAACCTGCCCGAGAATATGCTAAAGTTATGTAATTGCATATTGCATATAATATTATTTCAGCACCTATTTAAACTGCGACCTGACTGATGACCATTAACCAACCAGTTAACTGTTAAGATTTAACGTCAGTCCAACTTTTTAAACCTCCAAAATGCAGAATATTGTAGATTTTTCTAGTAACTTTATAATTAAGTGAATTGTATGATATTTTTGCAATGTAAGCGGCAGATAACACAATACACGGTAATATACAGCTCTAGGGTCAAATTAAGTTAAATATAAACGTTTCTGCTGTTTCCTTGAACGAAATTTTACAATTTTGACTGAATTTTTGACCAGTGACCAATCAGTGATGTCTGTGTGAGTAAGAATTAAGGATTCTTTGTTTATAAACAAAGATACTTTTATTGAGTACTTAACACTGCCCAGGTGATTTCACATAAAAACAGAAAAAACACATGGAATATCTCGTTGGTTACTTTAAGTTTACGACAAACAGACTTTGAAATACACAATGAAATCCCTTATTGGTTGCATTATGATTAAGACTTAGTTACCTGGTTAGCTTTTACTCCACACACAATTAGTTTAAACTTCAGAATGCAATCTATAAATAAAATCTATAATTGAGCTGCGTCGTTCCTTTTTTTCTCCATTTTAAGAAATTCACGAGCGGTATTGGGTATATCGCAGTTTCTGTTCAGATTCGAGCAGATTGTAGAGTTTCCCTGGCCTCACACAATTATTTTAAACTTCAAAATGCAATCTATAAATATTTCAGGTTGACATTTAATGGAGTCGTGTCGGTCCAGAACATAGACCTTCCCAATTGTTGTTTTGTTGAAATCATTTGTTGCTTTTGTTGAACTGAGATCGGTCGCACGGTTGCCGCGCCGGTCACGAGTCTGAACTGGCAGACGAACAGATGAGATTTAGTTTTAGACAATGAGAATAATTGCTTCTATAGTTTATGGGCACTGACAACTCCCATATCGATATTTTCTCTCGCTCATTTAAACACTGCAGAGTATAATATAAATATAAGGGATAAAGTTGAGGTATTTTGGTATTGGGTGATGAGTTGAGACAGGAGAGGAGGGCGTTTATCTTAAACTAAACTTCGTCGGTGTCTATCTTATTTTCTATTTAACAGAGGCATGATGGGCTACTGATACTGTCATTTTGATACAATTTTATTCTATTGAGCATTTATTTTTGGACCGGGGCAACGACGTGACAGTTATTTGAGAAAAATGGCAAAACTGACATTAACTGACATTAAGTTTAACTGACATTAACTGACAATGACATTAACTGACGTTGGACTAGTTCACACTATTCGCAAACTTTTACCGCACTTATATGTTAATGTTGCCTTTGACCTTGATAGTATGATTCACGTTGTTAACAAGTCTGTGATCGTACGAATTGGAGCTCCAGCAGTCAGTGAAGTAACATTTGTTTGATGGAGACACTTCAGTTATACTTATACTAATAACTGAACAAATTTTTAGCCCACTAAACACTTATTTTTACTAGTAATAGTTTGTCATCAGTCAAAGGTTATCTAATAGAAGTTATTTAATAGAAGACTACTCTCGGTACAGTTCGTTCTTAAAATACAAACTAAGATTCAAATTGTTTAAAGCTATGTACTTTTTGCACATGCGATAAGGAAACCCACTACATGTGGTACTGTCTACCAGTTACCACCTAAATCTACCTCCGATGTCATGTCTACCATTATAAGCTAGTCAGTAGAGTGTAATATTGTCATTGTATTGTCCACAATGGTACACAATACATACAGGGTATGATCAGTAATCATGACATGTGACATGTCATGATTACTGATCACGCAACATATTTTATGTCTTATTATGTTACATATAAGTTGCTTCCTAGTTCCTCCCAATACTTAAGTACATGTAAAATCCGGATTGGAGTATTATTTATGAGTCGCATTGTTGTAATGTATTCTGGGTAAAATTATCTTTATCCCGGTTGTTGCGACAAGTAAAAATGCTCTTATTAGCTTATTAGGGAAAGGAGATTACTCGACGTTTCAATGTAACTACATCGTATTCATGATCTCAAATTATTTGTTATATAGTAGTGTTGAAAGTATTAAAAAATTATTTTAATACTTTCAACACTACTATATAACAAATAATTTGAGATCATGAATACGATGTAGTTACATTGAAACGTCGAGTAATCTCCTTTCCCTAATAAGCTAATAAGAGCATTTTTACTTGTCGCAACAACCGGGATAAAGATAATTTTACCCAGAATACAATACTAAAGTACTTACCAGCTGTTATGATCATCAGCTAGTAAAATACCAAATCTGTCAGATCATTTTCAACAGCATGGTGTAATCATCCGGCTTGTTCATAAATTGGAAGAAGTACGGACCTTTTCACTTTTCAGCCTTGGTTTTATAAGATTTGTTTTATCTAACAACACTGGTTCTCACTGTTGTGTATTTATTATAACCTGCTCATCTGTTAGGAGCAGGCTATATAAAATATTCGTGCTCTCCTATTATCATTTTAATACCACGCTGGTCACATAACCAAATATGAGACCAGCAACCAGTAATCATAACTTAAATAACCGATTAGCAACTCTCTACAGAGTAGGAATATACTTCAATTCGTACCTTTAGTACATCCTGTAGTAGTTACCTCTAGTAGTTACCTATAGTTGACAAATGACAAAGTGCATGTGTTGTAAAATTTAAGTTCGGAAAGTTGCCTGGCGCCTGATCAGTGGGTCTGGGTAGTGGGTCTGGGCAGTGGTTCTGTGCCTAACAATGTAAATAAGCCGCCCTTTGAATAATTCAAGTTGGTAACTTGTGTGCATCTTAACTGCAGCCTCGAAAAGCTGGCTTCGAAATTTGTAGCCTTGAAAGTTTTACTTTTCGCTACCATTGAATAATTGGTCATCTCATCAGTTAGTTAAACTGCTTACATCGAAGGAAAGCTAGTTATATATAATGTATAATGCAAACACGCCATACATCCATCAATGGTTAATTCAACATCCCAGCAATTTGTTGATTGTTGATAACAATAGATAGTTAGATGCTAGCTAGCTCAATGCCCACTGCAACGTTTACCTCGGGCTATGTGGATCTAAACCACAGCTTTGAAAATCTGGCCTCGAAATTTTAAGCCTACAGTGGAATTCCGCTGCAATTTCAAGCTTTACACGGTCAGCTTTTTACGGCCGTGTTATAGTTGATCTGGCTGAACTCTGCTTATATTTCGGTCGTGTAGATTTTCTTTAATAAATTCCCCCGATAGCCAAAAACAGTGATCAATTTTAGTTACTTATTCGGTCTAAAACCTTTTAATCGGCCTCTTTTTGGTGTCTATAATGAGGTATTTTATTTTCTGTAGACAATTTAGACATTATAGTCAAAACATTTTAAAATTTATCTTCCAGGATATGATGCTATGATAGCAAAAACTAAGCTCATGTTTTCAAATTCAAGCTCGAACTCCTTCCCTTGGAAACCAGTGACACAATAACAATAACCCTATATTTACTATATTTTACCCTATATTTTCTATACTTTACTATATTTTACAAAGAATTTCAAACAGCAGTCAGCAGGGGACGCCTATACTATGCGTAAAAGTTTGACGTCACTCTCAAAGTCTCAATACTAAAATTGTCCGGTTATTTTGACACGTGATAAAAAACATTCTAATCCAATTGGAGGTGCGGACCAATATCAGACGTCACGTGGCAAAACAAGTAAAAGTTAAAGATTAATAGATGCAGCTTTTAAATAGCATATAGGAAGTCCAGCCGGTGCGTGATGAGTCATTTCTGATATCAAATTGTCCCCAGTACCCCTCAATTTGCTAAGTGGATCTAACTTACTACCGCACACATATAATATAAAGATATAAGTATAACGGGGCCATTTCAAGACAAATGCGTGCTATTCATGATATTATTATGATAAGTAGTATCAGTATTATGCGGAGTTCCGTGTCAATTTCTAGACCACCTTGCGTCGAGATTGAACCGATGCGTATGATTATTGATTAATTCATTGTTGTTATAAAATATTCAGCTTATTTGCGTGCTATTCATGAAAAATAGTGTCAGTATTACGCGGAGTTCCGTGTCAATTTCTAGACCACCTTGCGTCGAGATTGAACCGATGGGTATGATTATTTATTAACTCATTAATCATAATCGTTATGGAAGATTCAGCTTGTTTGTAAAGTTGTAATGAAAACGTGGCCTATAAAATACCTGTCAATATTATATTCCTGATTAGCTTGTAGATTAAACAAACTCTCCTTCTATTTGACATTCTTTTTATATAATCGATTGGAAATTTTAAATACTCATACCATTTTTTAGGGAAACGCCTTTCCTTATATATTATGTCGCTAGGCTTACTAGGAATCGGCAACCAAAATACATCGTTCCATGAGGTATCAACTACCATAGGTGATAGGCCCTTTTGGATCAATCTCGACATTCTGATGTAAAGTTATTTAAAACAAATCTAAATGTTACCTCTGTAAATTCGACAACAGAGGCTTGTTTAGGTCTCTTTTATCTGTTAATCGTTTATTTATTCTTTGGATTTCGCATATTTATTCCTCGGGTCAAGGTCCGGCCAGGTACACACGTTTTTATATTGTTTTTGCTTTGTATATTTATTGAGGAATCGTATTACATTCATGCTCGTATAACTGTTAAAAAAATCAGTTAAATATAAGGTTTGTTCCATTGAATTATCCAATATACATTATACAGGCTGTTACTTAAGAGTTTCATCAAAGCAAGCAAAGAGTTATCGTAGAGAGTCAATGACTAGTGTAGGAATTCGAAGGAAAACAATCTCGATTCTTTTGTCTTCTTCAGTAGTGCACTAGCATTGTGGTCCCGGGCTTACCTCCATTTTGGTGTTACAAATGGAGTTAAGAACCGGCATAGGCGGAGTTACAGGCTGTATATTACACAAACAAGCAGTATAGGGGGGGGGGGGGGGCAACGCCCCAAAAGGCCCCAAAAAGCCCCGATTTCTAGGGCCCTTTTTGGATTTTCGATATGTGTAGGGCCTTTTGGGGCCCTAGAATTAACTTCAATTTCATCAAGTTTGATATATGCTAAGTGCTTTAATGATATTATCTGACTACTTGCACAGTACTTTTATGTTTATTTGAGTGTATTTACATGGAGATTATGGTCCATAAACACTATCAAATAGTGGTCAGGGTCAAAAGGCCCCAAAAGGCCCCAAAAAGCCCCGATTTCTAGGGCCCTTTTCGGATTTTTTATATGTGTGGGGCCTTTTGGGGCGTTGGCCCCCCCCCCCGGGGGGGGGGGGGGGCCAACGCCCCAAAAGGCCCCCCCCCCCCAGTATAGTATTCCCGTCGTCAGCACTATACTTTTAGTTCTGCTTGGAAAATAAAATAAAATAAAAAAGTCCGTTTTTAAAAGTTTTAACCACCCAGCCGGGCCTTGAAAACTTTCTCGCCCTCCAAACAGTTGTATGAACCCTCCATTTCGTGCCCACCATAAAGTTCTAAAGTTGAAACTGAAAGCGAATAATGTATAGGCACACAAACAGTGACTTCACGGTTCATTATAAAGAATAAGATACTGACAAGGGCAACGTAGCCTGAGTAGTCTCCTTGCTATTTTGTACTATCCTTAGCGTTTTAAGTACTTACCACGAAGATTCTTAAGATTGTGCAAGACTCAATCATATCAGAACTGCTTAAATTGTGTTGTGTTGAGCTTAAAAGAAATTGCATTTCCTGAGAAGAAGATACGGCTAGAATTGTAAGAAATAAGTTTGAAGTTAGATCGATTCAATCAGTGGACTTTGTTAAAGCAAAACAATCAGTCACGCACACAATACTTGACTTGTTCTGTCACGCACAAAGCACCTAATATATGTTACGTATCATGCCCGCCCCTCTGCCTATTTCAAACGTCAGTTCTCAATCTCGTCCAACTAAGATGGTATATAAGCTACAATTCAGTAAAATCAGAGTTTCGTTTGGTGATCTTCAATTTTGAGCGATCTTAAATTCTTAGTGGATGTAAGCATCTAATAACATCATAGTATAAAGTTAATCATTTGACGCTTTTAGGTTTTGAGCAAATATATAGAAGATAGATTAAATTTAGGTGACTATTTGCATAAAAATGAGGTATACTAACTAGGTTATAAGTATGGCTACTAACCCAAATGAGTTCGCGAGTACGACTCAGAACCTCCTGCCGTGTTCTATTCTTTTTGGTTTCGGGCAGGAACGATTTGAGTATTTCAAACTGCTCGGCTATATTCTTGCGTCGCTCCTTTTCATCATCACGATGACACCTGTCAGGTTTTTGGTGTTTTCTCTTCCTTATCTTACCTTCATTCAGCACTTCCACCCTGATTTAGTATATTGATGAGTTGTGAGCTCTGATAAAAGTTGTAGATTGTAGAAAATGGCCCCTGATCTAAGAATGTTATTCGTTATTATTAGACAATGGTTATAAGCTCATTCTAATAAGATCTGATGAGTCTCCGAGTCACTAGTCAACTTATTCCTTGACATATTTGCCTGTTACAAGGCGGCAGTCGATTACTTGAATTTAGATATTAGATTCTGAGAAATTAAAAATATACTGAAAATGTTCTCACCTGCTCTGGGACTCTGTGATTCGCCTTCTGTTCACCATAAGACATAAATATCACTATCCTAACAGAGACGGATGAAGGTACACACAAAGTTAATGTGAAGTTAATTTCAAGACAAGATATTGAGGTAAATTTTTCCGGTGTTTGTCATATTTAAGCTTTTTCGGAGAAAATCAAAGATTGAAACTCGATTTTGTATTAATAATAATATTCAAAATAAAAAATTATAATCAAAGTACATAAACTTGCATTTTAGGCATAGACTTCCAAAAACGATTTAATTCGAGTATGCAGGGGTAAATTCAACGATTATCAACCAATTGATAATGCAATAAATCTTGATTCAGAACAAAATACGAAAAACGTTTCATATAATAAGAACAACAAGAAAAAATGTTTTTTTATGATTCAGAATAATAAATCAACATAAAGGCAGGCCAACAATTGAGCAGGAACTCTTTTATAAATTGTTTGTAAGGAAATAAATGGTTCGAGTACAATAATTTCAAACTCAATCGTGACATGAATGAGGAATATGTCAACATGTTTCTTCTTGTAATACGCAAAGTTTTCAGCTCCATGATTAGTTGTGTTGATTAGTTACTAATCTGATTAGTAGTGGTTATAGTTCTCTAAACAATTCACCAGTCCCCAGAATCCTCAACGTTTCACTGACAAGCTGATCTTTCTTAAACTTACCAGCACCCTTTACATTCCGTTTCTTTAGAAATACAATAAGGCTTTGGTTGTTCACTTTCGACAAATTTCCAACCTTCAACATGGACTTGATTTGCTCTTCAGATATAATTTTTGGAGGAGCCTTCGGTTTCTTCTGTGTTTCAGTCTTGGGTGTCTTGCATGCCGGAGAATAATTTTTACCGACCAGATTCTGCATTGGAGTGCTTTCAGGGGTTTTTATTAGCTTAGGCTTAGGCGAAGGGAATTTAAGACTTTGAGGAATCTCAAAATCATCGAAATCGTCTTGTTCGAAACTGCTGGGAACTGAACAAGGAGTTGGTAGCCCTTGTAATTGTGGAGTGATTGACTTAGATTGAGATGAGTTTCTGTCAGACCACGAGGATTTGGGAGTGTGAACCACTCGTGATTGTGATAGCTTTTTGAGAGGAGATTTTGATGAATTGTTATTCTTAGAAGATATCATTGATTCCGACGATAAGCTTTGTTTTGGTTGATTGCCGAAGACAGGTTTGACAATGTTTTGGCCTCCTGATTTCATTTCGTTATACTTCAGTGAAGCAGTGGCAGGAATAGTATTAGCCCTGAAACTTGGAACCACTTTTCCTTGCATATGCTGTCTGCCGCTATCATTGTTCTTATTATTATCTGATGGCCTGATGTTACTGAGAGGTTTCTGATATGGATTAAAACGGGGCTTTATCTTAGCTGCAGAATTATTATGAGAAGAAGCAGACATTTTGGGGCTAGCTATATTTCTCAACGGCAGAATATTCATTTTTGGATTCACATTCTCCGCAGCTACAGTGGGAGGTACTTTACATGATTTGTAATCGAAAGTCTCACTTGTTACTGCAACAAGACAGTCTTTCGACTTATCAGGGCCGGTATAAAATGCAGGACTGATGGGAAAGTGAAGTTGGAGGTTCGGCAACTTTGACTTCAATGTGTTATTCACTTCGATCACAAAGTCGTTTATGCACTCAGCGTCCGTTCCTTGCTTCATAACAGGAAAATTCTTCCTGATGCAATAGTATGGATAAGTCATCGTAGGAGCCCCTGGAAAGTTGAAGGATAAAGTAACGAAGATATCAGTATCGGAAGGAATGAGCATGCCATGATAATCCAACCAGTAGGCCATCATGTCCGATTTGTCCTTCAGCGGACAATTCTTATCTATATCATATGAGATTGAGTGCACTAAAGCAGGCTTAAAACTTGGCAGAACGTAGCACGTGTTGTCACCCATTTCTGAGGAAATGATAGTCCTGATATCCTTCTTCATGAAGCGCTGTATGGTGTCGTCTCTGATGTGAAATGTGGACAGTCTAGCGACCAATAGTTTCACTTGGGTGGCTTTGATAGCGATTACAACACTTTTAGCTTGCACGTTTAGTTGTGCTCTAATACATCCCATCCAGCGGTTCTGGAACAAACATGAGCTACCCTGTAGATACTTGTTGTCCACTCTCGTCCAATGGGGGTGAAGATATGTGTGTAGGGTAAAGTCAAGGCAATACTGAAGAATAGAATTATTAAGTTGCATGACCTTCACCAGTTTGAGGTTACAAGCAGACACAGACCCGCTGAACTCTTTCTTCTTTACATCATTCTTGTGAGCAACAATGTAAACATGCTTCTTGTCGTTCATGGCAGGGCTACTAAGCACATTGTGAGTTCTGCGGAGTAGAGCTCGACAACAAGCACAGTTCAGAAGATGAGGTCCTGAGGTGGTTACCTCACCGAGGATGGTTACATAGTCGGTTAAAAGAGGAAGAGAACTGAGGAAAAGATGAGGTTTGGCATCCATGTTCGATCACTTAGATCTGAATGGTTAATTTTACGTTAGCTATGGATGAATTGAACAGATGGATTAAACTGTGCTAATAAATTCTAGCTAGATCATTTGTGACAATTTTCTTTAAAATTTGACAGATATGGTTCATGGACAGTTACCATGTCGTTTCTAAATGATTTAAACAAACTTGTTTGAAACTGAAAATATATATTATATTGAACATAAATTGGAAAATAATTTGATGATAATGTACTCAATTAAAAAACATCCGCAATCTGCATCACCCACAATAAATACAACAATTCATTGAAATTATTTTGAATACTACATGGTAAAAATGAATGATTGATCGATTAGTTATATAACGAGGACTATCAATATTCTTTAACTAAGAATTATAGTTAAATACATTGAGTTTAGTTGATATCGCTGATAAATTTCCATTGACTGTGGAATGAACAGATGTTATTTACAAGTGCAGTGATAGCAAGAAAGAATACGACTATGTATAGTGTATACCGTCATGCTCGGAAAAAGTGCTACATATCCATTCGAGTCGATTATACACCTTTATTTATTGAACTGACTTTGGCGTTCAACGAGGAGTGTTTTTACGATGCGATGGTTGTACATTGTACAACTGCAAGTTTGAGACATTGGTATCCTTTCTTTTATCTTTACGACCACGGCTATCCAATAAATATCATGAAAACTATGCATCAAACAAATATAACTTTTTTAATCCTCAGTTGCAGTAATTATTAAGAAAATATTACACTATCAAAAAGGTTGTTTCAGTACTCTGATCTATAATTTCGCTCAAAACCGATCTTCTCTTCAAACTGTCCCCACCCAACCTCCGACCTTGCTACCCTCTCGACCTTTACGAAATTCGCACCTCTCTTCAATGTCCTTGATCTGGAGCTCTTGTACGTTTTGATAGACCGAACAGACCACTTACCCAGACTCTCATCATCGCTGCCCCTACCATCACCCCAACCTTTATCTTTCATTTTTCTGTGACTAATGGAAGAGGTCAGAAGTTTATTGAGGGAAGGTTTTGTGAAATCTTTTTTGGGGGGAACTGGTAAAGACTCCAGCCAGTTTTGTGTGTTTTGCATTTTAATATCTGTCGTTGAGTCCTTTAAAGGCACCGAGGTGCGTGGGATTAGCTTCTGTCGTTTTTTCTTGCAGACGTTTCCCTTCCGACGCTTCTCGATCTTATATGTCACCACTGGGGTCTCATTACTTGTCATTTTTGACGTGATCGCTGGATTTTTCTCTACAGCAGGATCTTTAGATTCAACACATTCTAGCTTGCCGGCAAATGTTTCAAACTTACTTCTCTCCAGCATAGCTTCAAAAGAAGGTGGTGGTGTGAGCGGCTTGTTGAAAAATATACTTTTCTGGGAAGATTCATGTTGGTGAGACAGGTTCTTATTGAAAATACTTTTCTGTGAGGATTGAGACGGTTTTGATTCGTTGTGGCGACAGTCTGCAGTCACGCTTGTTTTAATTTCATTTTTAAACTCGTGGAATTCCTGTTTAAACTCTTCTAAGAACTCTTTAAACTGTGCCTTTTGAACAACAATAAACTCACTCTCGGGTGAAGTGAGCTTTGAAATTAGCTCATTCGACGTCTGAAGCTGAACTTGACAGTTTTCCATCATCGTACAGAGATTTGATACTGACGTTTTGATAGCATTGTTCTCGGATTCTCGCAGATTGTCTCGATATTTGGTTACTTGTGGTTCAGGTGACGGTGTTTTTGATATTACAGTCTGTTGAAGGTAGCTCTTGAATAGTTCATTAGTTCGTAACTCCATATTGTGGTAACCTGTAATGAACATAAAACTAATTCATAACTACAATTAAATGAATTTATTGAGCGAATGTGGGGGATCGGAATATTTTGACCTGGTTTAATCTACGTCCAAAACCTGACTTCATAGCATGTAACTTGTAAGATTGCGTCTATTTCTCATTCGAACATTCGGCATGGAATTTAAACAAATTTAAGGAGTTCAACAAATTTTCTCAAATCATTTGCATTGGGCTGAGGATGAATTTCATCTAGTCATTAATTATCTAGTCAATTATAAATTTAAAATAATATCAAAATTTCTGGTTTACAAAATTAATCATCAAACATCTTGTAACTGTAAACAATAACACAAATTTTAAAAATTCAAAAAAACTCCCTATTAAATTCAACTAATAGATATTTAGAAGTTTATAACGCTTTAAAAACCCGAAAACTTGCCGGTTTATTACTGCTGATTCTAAAGAAAGCATATTTAAATACAGAATCGATATTTTTGGGGTGATATCGTCGGCATTTTATAAAAGTTTAGCCGTTTTGAAAATTGTCCATTTTCTCCATTTTCCAAGCAGCCTCTCAGATAATATTTGGTAAGGTAGTGGCTGATAATGGATAAAACTAAATTTCATTGGCTTGACTCGAATTTAGCCCGTTTTATCGAACGCCACCGATACTATCCTATTAAATATGTAACAGATATTTTCTGGTATATTACTGATCATTCTAACGAAAGATAAATATAACTTATCAATATGCCCAGAGTGCTATTATCCTATTCAACAAGTAGCTTAAATAGCATCTCGTCAACTCATCCACTCATTGAGTTCACTCTTTAGCATCATCAATGCCACCGGCGGTGATGGCGAAGGTGGCTTCACTCTCGGGCATGTCAGGACTGTCATATATTTTAGCAATCCGTAGTTCACCGCGACCTAAAATATGCAGAATATATGGGGTTTTGTTAATGTTTGGGGTTGCATTGATTTTATTACCTATCAGAATTCGAGCACTTTAGACACACATTATTGCGAAATATCACTCAGAGGTGACACAATGCAGAACCCGCTGTGAGGCAGATATTGCATTAAGCCTGACAACAATTTCTTGAGGCTAATTAATAAATATGTCACCTTTACGAAGATATAGCCTGGTGGTTGATGCATGAGCGAGGATGTTGCCACCTATTGGTTTCTTAGGATCTGCTTGAAAGCTCATTGTAGCTCCAGGATCAGCAGTCATCTGATTCGTTATAAACACTGCTAAGTTGTACTCCTCTGAAAGCTTTTGTAACCTGCACCATGTCCAATTAGTCGTCTGACATTTTACAAACTGCACACAATGAGCCCGGTCTAATCAGCCGGATCAACTTAGATAGGCTGGCGTTTATTGTTCTGAGATATTAGATTCTGATGAGATTAAAGTTTGAACTTTGTTCAGATAACTAACCTGGCGAGCAGTTGAGCTAGTTTCTGCTGTCTGTCAGCAAGTTCTCCTCGGCCAGTAAAATCAACTCTGAATAAGGCCATCACGCTGTCAATGATTAGAATCTGAAATATTCAATAGTTTCCTTTAATGACGATGTATTATAAATATAATATTGCAATTCCGTTATATTCTATCTACATTATTGTATGTAGCATATCTCGTCCGTTTTCTACATTTGTTGATGTGGGAGAACTGCATACTGCAAAATGGTATAGGACGCATGATTGTGATTTAAATTGTAAAATTTTTACTATTAGTGTTACCTTGTCTCACTATATACTAATCAGTCTGCCGTTAAACCGTTTATTTTCAATTTCAAGACGACTTTCGTGGAATGTTCTAGAATATAGACAGGCCACCCCCCCCCCCCCCCCCCCCCCCCAGTCAAAAGTAACGGCTTGTTGGTTTTAACATCCAGTTAATTTATGTGGCTATACATGGCATTCATGTACCTATTAACTTATTCTACTAGTTTAAGACAAACTAGATATATTTATGTGGCTATAAAGATATAATAACATGAGGCATGTGAGTGGCTAGTACGATATATATCAGATCAGAGTATCGTTGCTGAGAAACTACACCTGTTGCCCACAACTTACAGGGATTAAGGAACAATTAACCCCATTACAAAACCACATAAATCCATAAGCTGACCATAGCTTAGCAGGATTGTTCGGCAATTCGTGCCTTAACCGTGCCTTAACCGTGCCTTAACTGTGCTTTAACCGTGCCTTAACCGTGCGTTAACCGTGCTTTGCCACACTACCGAATTGCCGATTGTTCGCTAGAAGACTTAATTTAACTTAAGCTCCTTCTTTACTTTATCAATTATCTATTTTGATGCTATATTTGATACGATATTTTTTAATCATAGTTCATACGTTTCCAGTCCTTACTTATTATTATAAGTACATTTCTGGGATGTTTATCTATCATTGTTATCTTAATAGTGATTAGTGGTGTTATTCAACATTTATTTATTATCATCATCACTGTATATTTGATGGCCGACAGGTGCAGGCTGCAGTCGCATGATTTAGGAGCACATCAGAAAATATGTTCATTACGAACTAGTGTAGTAGATATATGTATAGGCTTTTTATTGTACTTTCTTTAAATGAATCCGAAGTGATATCAGATCTCAGACCAAAACGGTTCCAGATGGCTAAATCTAGTCTCGATCGAAACCCGACTCTCCACTAATTCGTTCTTGAATTACTAGTGTCTGTGAGGCTATCAACCAAGACGTTTGAGGCAGTAAGGCACCTAACTTCCGAAATCAATTATCTAATGCTCCTTCCACATAATCACCATTGAACTATTGCAAATTATATGGCTTTAGGAGTCTAGCCACTTCAAATCTTCAATGCCAATTGCCATTAGATCATCGAGCATTTCGTTTCTAAATTTGCGAATATTTATTCGATGGTTAATGATACTGTTCTGAAATGTTCTTTTTATTTGATTAATTGAGCTGTACGTGACCGATATAGATATCCCTAATCACAAGTTCAATGCACCGTGTGCTGTCTTGAGCTATTCATATCTTCCAGTGAAAAATAAATAATGAGATTAATAATTCATTTGAAATGGCTTACCTTGAAGATTCCAGGTTCCTCATGGCACTTGGCAGCAGCAAAGTCTAAAAGTTCAAGCTGGTGCTCACTTGTATAAGCACGAGCATAGAGCACATTGTCTAACATAGCTGTGTGATCCAGATTGTACCTGTCTGCAATGGATCGTAACCTCCCTGGTCTGAATGTGTTTTCAGTGTCTATGAAAATAACTTTCCCACCAGAATAACCATTTGGACCAGGAAGTTGAGTAAGGACACATAGTGTGTGAGACAGTTGTGTTTTCCCTGTTCTGAATTCCCCAAATGCTTCTGTGATTGCCATACTCTCAAGACCCCCACCTAGAAGCTTGTCCAGTTCCTTGCTTCCTGTGCTTATTTTAAAAATGCTTTTTCTTCTCTCGCTGACTTCAAAAGCTGTGACAAATCCAGAGTCACAAAGTGTTTTGCACACATCTTTGATTTTTTCAACTTTTGCTTCAGACAAACCTTTGATATTACAAAGTTTTTTGGCGGTTGTCATCAAGATGCCTTTGATAGTGCAAATTCCAGCACCTTTCAGTTTTTTGATATCAGCCACGTTGATACCATGTGATTGCAGTAAATCAACATCTTGAAAATCAACCGTTTGTTCAGAGCCATAGGATACATCCTGCTCTTCGACTGCACCTGCATACATTTGAACCTTATCCTGGACTGACATGACAGTGCAGTTATTTTGCAATAATAAATATGAGTATAAGTTATAATTACAATAGAACCCTGATAACAGCGGAGTTTGGGAAAAGAAACATTCTGTGAGTCGGAGTTTACCAGGTCAAATTTACCGTCATTTAGTTTTTGAAATAAGATTTGCAGTCAATCCCGATAGTTAGACTTTAATAAAAACAATTTCCGAATATTAATATGAAGCGGAATGTCGGAACGTGATTTACCTACTTTCATTATTAAAAAACAGTAAATTTCTTGAAAGGGTTATTAATTAGCACAGTAATCTGACAAGAAGAGTGATTCGCAAATTAACGAATGGTCAATCTACAGGGTGAGCCTAAGAAAACTGATCATTATGAATTGCTCACCATATCCACATTTTACGTCTTATTTTCACACTCTCTGACTTATTTTGTGCGTTAGACAAATAGTTTCCACTTTCCAATATCACTATTATTGGTTAATTTTGCACAGTGGGTCATGTTATGAAAGTTGACATGATCCGAAATCGGTTCAAAACGCTATCTTGGTCCAGATGGTCACTATTGAATCTTGATTAGTCAAGTTATGAAGGTTAAAAATAATTTTTGGAGTTTTCATGAGGTATGAAATGAAATAATGTGCTTGTATACCGCCCATATAGTTAGCAACTGACACTGGTGTCAGGGACTAACCATGTCAGAGCGGTTCTTAATGATGAGGTGAAAATATCTAGCAAAAAATAACTAAATCATCTCAAAAAAACAAATCTATTCAGAAAAATACCACTTTAATTATATCATATAGTAATCATTGGAAGATTTATTGATATTGTATACCACACTACGATTAACAATAAACCACCAGAAAACACTTCAAAAGTATCATATAGGAATCATAAGAAGGTTTATTGATATATGATTACACACTGCACTTAATAAATTTAAAGATACACCACCAACAAATCATAAGAACAAAACAACAGCACTGATCAAATACGGTCATATAAATAATGTTTAAGGCTACCTTTAAACTGTCTACATTGCGTAGTTATTGTATCTCCCAGGGAAGTGAATTCCATGCAATTGGTGCGTTGTTGGTGAAACGACGTTGATCAATCCTATTATTTGTAGTTTAAGGAGTCTTTAGCCTGTAGCAATCTCCTTCTACTTTTGATCTTGTACTAGCTGTTGTCAATGGGTTTTCAATCTCTACAAGAGTGTTCATGAAGGCAGGTGAAATCTCATACACAGCTTTATAAATAAGGAGGCAGACTTTATAGAAAATCCGTTGGTCAAGAGGAAGGATATGTGCTCTCTTGTAGTAGGGAAGCAAGTCTTCTGATCGGTCTTTGATGTTGTAGATGAACCGTATTTTTATTTGAAAATTCAATTAATTATTATATATATAAATCAAGCGTTACATTTCAGCCATGCAAAATTACAATGACATATTTTGATAAACTAATTGATAAAAGGTACTGCAATATAAGTTGCTTAATGTTTGGCCGGATGACACTAACTAATAGAAAAATAAACTTGATTACATAATAATTAATTCGGCTGAACCAACACATAGCAAGAGCCACATTAACGTTGGGGCCGTCGAGTTGATCTTAGCTTGTTTAGTCGTGTCTTTGGTAAGTTCATGCAAAGAGAATTACAGTAGTCGAGCTTTGATATTACAAGCTGTGTTACCATCATAAGTTTCACTTCTTCATCCAGATAGCGCCCAATCGTCCTTAGATTCATCATTGTCCAGCTGCATTTCTGTTTGACACTATTAATTTGTCTTTCCATGGTAAGAGACTTATCAAACTTGACCCAGGACTCTTCCAGCTGTCACCTTTACATTCAGTTGGAGTGATAGTTGAGTTTCCGAATTGAACCGTCACCTCTATTTAACAGTGTTTAAAAAATTGCAAAAACTTTGAATAATGTAAATCACTCGGCTTTGGCTTAAAATTCAATTTCAGTTAAGAATGCTTATTTCACGAAACTATTTGATCATACTACATCTCAGTTTTTACAGAACTGCTTTTTGTTGCTCCGTTATCAAATAAGAGCAAAATGAAAATGATTGATTTTCTCTGACCCACCCTGTACTCTAGGACTGCTAAAGGTGTCAATCTGTAGGAGTAAGCAGCATCCTTTTGAGCCAAATCCGCATCTCGCCTAAGTGATGCTATGCCTATAAGAACTTCACGCATTTGCATTAGAAACTGTCAGTACAGAGGTGATACTCTATAGTCCTTGATAATTTCCCTTCAGTCTGCACTTGCAGAATCTGTGGTATGTCAGGATCACACTCTCATAAATCTTGGCATGCAGTCATTAGGAAGCAGGGAAGTTTATCATATAGCTAGCATAAGTAGTAGCTAGTATTGCACTAGTATAAGTAGTTGTAGCACTGCACTAGTATAAGTAGTTGTAGCACTGCACTAGTATAAGTAGTTGTAGCACTGCACTAGTATAAGTAGTTGTAGCACTGCACTAGTAAAAGTAGTTGTATCACTGCACTAGTATAAATACTAAGTAGTTGTAGCACTGCACTAGTATAATGGCTAAATATGTTAACCTCATTTTTTAGATAACTCACTGCGATATTGTGGTACATTACATAAGTAAGAATCGTATGTATATTCCCTACGGTACCAAAATGTGATGGTTAACCTCATTTTTTCATTTTCCCAAGATAAAAGTCAATCAACACGTCATCTATTAAGAAATGTGTATACCGTATTAAACTAACGATGAAAATAATAGCTTTATCATTTGATCTATTCTCGCTATATCTAAAAAAAGAGGTTAACCTCATTTAATCACGTTTGGATATTTCTTTTTCTGACAATTATGAACCTAAAATTTAGAGTTAACATTTGCTGACCGAAATAACAAAAAATTATGGAGTGTAATAAAATATTAACCTCAATTTTATTAACCTCAATGTTTGTATAGTCAATTTTGTGAAAATCGGTTAACCTCAATTATTAAAAAAAGTTAAGCAGCTACAAATATGTGAATAGCAGCAATGTTTTTGTCATCAAAAATTATATTGATTTAGAAAATAATATTTTAGTCAATGTTTTTGACCCCTTACTTAAGGGGGCCGGGGGGTCTTCATCAAAATTCTCTCGAAATTGACTTTGTAGTTGTTTCTGATGGAGGGGAGTGATATCTATCAGCTGTTTTTGGTCCCATGGAAAAGTTTTGTTCCTAGCCGAAATTATTGCCGGTCAAAGGTCAGCGGTTATGTGTAATTGTATTTTTGTATTGCGCGAGCGATTTTCAATCGCGCCATGAAAATCGAGTCTAAAAATCTATCTTCTCCGACATTTTTTGAGCGATCACCCTGAAACTTTCAGGATATGTTCTAAGGACCATTTAGAAGAGATTGACGGGCCAGAATTTTGAGATAGGCCTTAGAAATTTTTTTATTTGATTTTGATAATCTCTGACCTGAAAAAATCGTCAAAAAAAGAGGTCCAAGATTTTCAAAATCGAATAAAAAATTTTCTATGGCCTATCTCAAAATTCTGGCCCGACAATCTCTTTTAAATGGTCCTTAGAACATATCCTGAAAGTTTCAGGGTGATTGCTCAAAAGATGTAGGAGAAGATAGATTTTTAGACTCGATTTTCAGGGCGCGCGATTTAAAATCGCTCGCACAATACAATTACACATAACCGCTGATCTTTGACCAGCAATAATTTCGGCTAGGAACAATATTTTTCCATGGGACCAAAAACAGCTGATAGATATCACCCCCCTCCATCAGAAACAACTACAAAGTCAAATTCGAGAGAATTTTGATGAAGACCCCCCCCCCCCGGCCCCCTTAACTCTTTAAGATCTTAAACCCTTTGGAAATTCATTCGCCAATGGCAATAATAAATTATTTGTAGGCTGCGAATGAATGGGAAAAGCGAGCGACCGATGTTAGTCCACTAATTAACAATATAACAGTGATTATACTTATAAATATCTTAAATAATAATCTTAATAAATCTGTGTGTGAGTGTGTGTGTGTGTGTGTGTGTGTGTGTGTGGGAAATCTACAATTAAATTCTACTGATGGTTCACATCACTAATTATACGTCACTAATTGGTGACATGATCTGCTCACCGAGGGACCCCTAATACTCTAATAATTGTCGTGCAGCCAGACCCCATGTCCCCATGGTCAAGCATTTGAATTTATGCTTCAACGGCATTATGGGTTAACAATATTGCAGTACTGTAAATTATAAAATAATGTAAATTATAAAGCATCATGAGATATATACTAGATCACGATTAAACGTGTATAGAGCTTGGGTGATACAGAAAATTAGGGCACAAATATAACAGTCTGAGTTGCAACAACATCATAATTATTTAATTTCAGTAGTATATAAACTCAAAGTTCTACCCTTTGTCTGGAAATCTCCGAAACATATTTACTCCGCTGTAAACATTTCCCTTTAATGTCACGATACTACTCTACCTGAGGTGTGGTTCTATAGGTTGTGCTAGGAGATTATTGTTTTGTCTTACTTTAAAACTAATAATGTTATTGGATATTTTGGATGCCAAATGAAGATAACATTTTGCACTTGGGCGTTAGTTTATTAAACATGGCTTATTTGATTGGAGTTTAGTAGCCACATACAACAAACCTCAAAGTTTGATTTCTTTTACATCAGTGGTTTCAATCTGATCCAAATGATCATTGCTCAATCTGCTAATTATCGTATTGAAAACTCTCACAAAATATTTAACTTTTAAATTAAAATACGACTCGACCATTATACTACCTAAGCTCTCTCGAATACTATAATGTGCTTTCTGTAAGTTTTTTTTCATGATCAGCCACTAACATGTTTTTGTGAAGAAAAATCTTGGTATGTTATTACCTTGTGCAATGTGCATAATATGATGATTACCTATTATATATATATATATAATAATCTAAATTGTTTATGATAAGCAAATATTTCACATTTTATGATATTTCTGCCCAT